TCCCTATTAATAGGTGCCCCTTTTAATTTCTGCTGATAACCAATTTTGGGGTACGATAAGCGCCCATTTTCCTTTCAAGTAAGTGGCTTTTGCCCTTCTGATTATTTCGCCTTTTTCTAATATAATTGCCCCTTTACTTCCCTACCCCTTTTCACTCCTGATAAATGCCCCCCCTTTTTTTTAAATATAATAAGTTCAGTTTGTTACTTTGATTTGTATCCCTTTTTCATATAAAAAATTGCCCTTTGAAAAGTTCACCATTTTACAGACATTTTCCATTGTTCCTTACCAAGTGTGCCCTTTTGCGGTCATCTAAAGAGCCACATCTAGTTTCAAACAATCGGAGCAGCTTTGTGAAGTAAAATGTACCTACCACCACAATGAAAGGCAGTGTTGAAGAAAATGAAGGGTTAGACAAAATGGTGGAGTTTTGTAACCCAAAGGTTACTGCATTTGCATTACTAAATGTCATTCATAGTAACTAAATAGTAATTAAAATGAAACATGATTACGATACGTGCTATGACAAGGTTTTTTGCTTTTAATCACCCCTCATATCCCCGAAACAACAAATTTCTCATTGCCTTCATGTATTTAAAGCGACTGATATCAAATTTTCTCAGATTTCCCACATTTATGATTTATCTCATCATGGACCTATTACGAATGGACATTCATCGTTTTCTTAAAGAATTCATTGTGATTGTATCCGTCAATGTCGTCTCAATAACATTCCGTACATGTTTCTTCACTTTGATCTCATGATGGTCACCGCCAATAAGACTGGACAGAATCAAAATAGTGGTTTTAAACATGTTAATATACATGCACAGAAGATAATAAATCGCTTAAATCATGGGAAATCGATGTGCAGTCCTGGCTTATGATCGGAAATGGTTCTTTCGTGTACTGTGTTCTATTTTTGAAAAACATGTTGATATTACCAGATAGGTTTTGTTTGGATTGTTTGTGATTTAAAATCCCGTTTCCCCAATTTCCTCATAATATTCCAGAATTACAACGCACAGGGCTTATAAAGATCATGGCCTTCTAATTGTTTTATAAGGTCATTGGTGGGTGCAAAAGTGTGCAAATCAGTAATAATAAATTTCATATCACCAAAATCGTCTGCTTTTCAACTTTGCTGCTCCCCATTGGGGATGTTTTTGTTGAAGACATCCTCTTACTGAGCACACCATCCAAACAAAACCCAATAGAGGGAAACTGCTCCTTTGTCAATGCCTGAAAATGCTTACGCAGTCGTTATTGTTAAAACAGCTGAATGTTCTTATTAAGATGCACATAATCAGAAGGCGGTGACTATCATCGGATCAAAGAAAGAATCACGTTGAATGTCCATCCGTAATAAGTCCATGATCTCATTAAGTAACCTATCATATTAAAGTTCTTTTGCATTCTTTCAGGCACGATTGTGCTGAACACCCCATTAGGGTTGGTAAATTTATCTGATAATAAGATCTAATCGGTTGCAATGTGACCTCATAAATTGTGATATTTGTTTTGCTCGCTCGCTCCGCTCTCTTCAGACCACAACACTCAACTGGAAAGTATGCTAGTGGCATCTTGGACCACGTAAAGAGAAATCTTTAACCCTATCTCTGATATTGTAGTAGGAGTTTATACCAATGTTTATAAAAAAAAACGCTTTGAGGTAACCCTTTGCAGGTGCGCGTTATCCCCTGGAAAATCAAAAGGTGCTCTACTTTGCTACGCCGCAGATCATCTAAAGATTAAGCTTCAAAAGACGGGAATGCAGAACCAGAAAATTATTGGACCGCATTTCATGAATTCAGTTAAACCCGACCCTGGTCTAAAATCACGTTTGATAAAAAGATAAGTTAGAGCACAGACTACCTTCTAATTATTTTGAACAAAAGCATAAACTAATCAGCTTTAGATATACAAATGTTCGGAGAATACAGGCCTTAGTGTGATTAAAAAGTTCGCCAAAGGTCTTTGGGACGTCTTCCCTGATATAAAGTTGGTTTTAATAGAAGCAAGAAAATAAGAGGAAGGGTTACTGAAAGTTTGAGCAAATTCTTATCAAAATTAGAAAGTCTATCTCTTATTTGTATATATAATATAATATAATATAATATAGAAATCTGACCGAACAAACCCATTCATACACTTTTGGAAAAAAAAGTTTAAAGTCAAAGAAAAATTAGTATTTGTTTAAAGATTGAGATAAGTATGTTTACACATCGTGTTCTGGGTGTCAAATTGTAAACACACTTATAGGCGCGGAATTCAAGCGGGGAGCACAGCCAATGTGTGTCCACAACCCCCCCCCCCCGCCTCCCCCTTTTGGCGGCTAAAAACAAAAGGAGAGAGAAAGAAAAACAAAGAAAGACAGAAAAATAAAGAGAAAAGGGGAAAATAAACTGTTTAAAAATCCTAGGTATGGTATAGAGCGTGTGTACTGCGCTGTCCATCGCTCAGTGGCGTACGCGTAGGCACTCTATCTTTCAGCTGGGGCAAGCCGCGGACTTCCAGGTGTTCATTTTTCTCCCCGATTTTTCATTTTCCATTTGCTTCTCGATTTTGCCAAATCTGTGTTCCCATCTTGACAATTTTTTCACTTTTCTTATCAAATCACCCCTTTTTGTCCTGCACATTTCCCCCAATGTTGCTTGTCATGGGAACCCTTCCCCCACCCTCCCACGGGAACGCAACTGCCATTATAAAAAGCTAAGCGTTACTGTACCGGAAATTGCGCACAATTGAAGTTCCGTTCATACTAGCATTGCGAAATAAAAACATTGAACAAATTACCAGACATTATACAAACACATTTAACAATACAGCGCGGCCACGTCTCCCTCAACCCCTCAACTCTAGTAACCCAGGGTAGTAGTTTTATAACACCTTGTCTCACCGACAAACCGATTCTCAATCCATCTGCAAAACGAAGTCATGGGGGGGGGGGGAATGTTGTTCTGTCTCTAGTATGTCTAGTCACTGTCTATTTTCACTAGTTAAAGATTTCTTTTCTTCTTAAAAATTGAAAATTTCAATAATATTATGATTTAAGTAGTAAATAAAGCATGCAAAGGAAACAAAGTAATACAATTAAAAAAACATTAGGTTTACATTAACAAGAAATCATGTTTCGGGTTTATATCACACGAATGTTTCAAGTTGTAAAAACAATCTTTTTATCACATATTGGCCATCTAGCAACTTTTACAATGGATATAAATAATACACATAATAATAATCACGTTCAGATAAAATGAATGCTGAACTATATGGTTCATACAAGTTGAAGTTATGGTGTGTGAGTTTGAAAGCCTGGCTATGGAAAAATGGAATGCCCGGAATGATTGACACAGGTGCAAGTTTGAAAGCTTGGGTGGTAGATTGGAAGCTGTGGTGTAATCGAGTGAGAGTCAGTTGATGGAGGCACCAAGGAGAAAGCACATCCATTGTGCATGGGCTGGTCATGTAATAGTAATAATCTTTTAGTCCACTCCAAATTTTATTAAACCGAAATGAAAATTCTTTTTGACCAATTGATCGTGAGCCCGGCAGTCACTGAGCAGCGCAAGATCGACGTTGCTCTATCCTTAATTGTTGAACACCAAACAAGGTAGCAGCACCTCCCGTCTTTTAACGCCTTTTGGTATGACGCGGCCGGGGATCGAACCCACGACATCCCGGTTGTGAGGCGGGCGCTCTACTGACTGAGCTAATACTCCGGTAACTTAGGTAATACAGGCCTAACAGCGCTTTTCCTAACTACAGCTTCAGCATTTCAGGCTAAGAGAAACCTCCATGACTCAACTCACTCATGTGTGTATAGTCCGTTTGAAGCAAAATATGTGGACATGCATATTGTGAAACTAATTTCATGTACTAAGGAAGTTAGGCATGTATTGACTTAGTTTAAAAAAAATTTCATACATGAACAAACATCACAAATGGAAACAAATTTAAATAGCAAGAATTCATGCTTGAAGATGCATAGTAGAGGATATTTCAAATTATTTTCATAATTTAAGAAGATAATTGGAAAATATTCATGTATTACCAGTAAACCAGATACGTCTTTTTGAGAATTATTAAGGAAATAATTCTGGTATTGACTGAGGTTTCCCCCTTTATCTATTATACGTGAATTAATATTAACCCTAATTTAAAAATTTGAAAAACCACACATTGAGTCTGTCTGACCAAACGGGGAAGGGGGGGGGGGGGAGGGGTGTTTGTCATTTGTCATTGAAAAAAAGCTTTGTGAAACGGGTCCCAGGACATAATATGCGTTCATACCAGCGCTTATATTCTCGCAGCCGGAATCCCTCAATTCAATTTATTTCAACCGTAAAAATACATATACAATAGTTCATGGAAATATGAAAACATGGGATAGGGAGCCCGTAAAGAAGTTTGAATACAAACTTGTGATCGGGCCACTAACCATCACTATCGAGAAATTAGAAAATTAACAAAAACAACCTTAACGGGAAAAAAAGTATATACAAGAAAAAGATTATAAATGAGCGCACATACATGTAGGACACGGCGTCAAGCGACACTGCGTCCCTATGCGCCCCTAGGCGATGCTTTCCAGTATTCCCAACATTACAAAACATGTAGACCAAATTATTCATTATATAATTGGGCGTGTTTTATATACTGTATGAACAATCCCTCATTTGGTTAAAATCATACATCAGATTCCTGCGTTCTGATTGGATAAAACTATACGTCCGTTCGATGGCTGAACAGTCGTATAGTTGTACAGAAGGTGCTTCGGCCTACACGCTGGAAACTTGTACATGCGTTCACGACTGCTTCGATGGAGGCATGGCCATACAGTATAGTCTCATAGTTGTATAGTTGTTTAGATGTACAGTTTCCTGCGTTCTGATTGGCTAAAACTTTACGTCCGTTCGATGGCTGAATAGTCGTATAGCTGTACGAACATTGGCAGGCGCAGCCCGTTATAGCAGTCTCGGTCTATCTCTTGTGTCTGATTTGAGTAATGTGTCCGGTGTAGACCGACTATAAAACCCGAGATACGGTGTTACTTCACGAGTAGATTATTCAACGGCATCGCGAGACGAGGATCCCTTCTTATAGACAAAATGGCTAAGTTCCATTTTCTTGTTGTGTGCAGCCTACTTGCTGTTCTATTCCACAGTTACCTCGGGAGTGCAGCAGGTAATATATACTTCTTTTTGTCGATTTTCATTTTCTCTACTGTTGTTTAATTTGCCTACTTCAGTTTAATATCAGTGTCCTTTGTCATGATTACTGGACGGAGGCAATTTCGATGCATCTCCTTTTTCATTTTATCAGAAAACTTCTTCTATTTCTACTTTTTGTGATAAAACAATCTTACAACACTTACGATGAATAGGCTCTATCAAGTATTTATTTCGGATTTCGGAATTTCGGCAATGCGTCATCCCTTATCCTTTTCTTTTTTTCCCTAAAAATATACTTTTTCCGGATCCTCTTTTTTCGTCTATAATATTTTCTCTCTTTGTCCCGACTGTACTCCCTTTATCTCTCCCTCTCTCTTCTAATCTCACTCTCCCGTTTTTCTTTCTTATCCTCTCCCACCCTTCTCTCTCTCTCTCTCTCGCTGTCTCTTTACAAATATCACCCCTCTGTATTACTCTTCCTTCCCCTCTCTTTCTATTCTCCCCTCCCCTCTCCCCCTCTTTCACCCTCTCTATTTCTTTCTTTCTCTCTGTCTCTGTCTCTGTCTCTCTGTCTCTCTTTCTCGGCACCCTATCTTAGAAACTTGTGATGAAGATCCGTGCCTGAATAGAGGGTCCTGCACTTCGGAAACCAATTCAACCGGCTACCAGTGTACGTGTCAAAATGGCTACACGGGAACAAACTGTGAAGTCGGTATGTTATACTCTACTCTTAACTATAAGAAATAAATATTAGAAATTATTAAATAATTAAATAATGATGTCAGCCACACTCCCTCTATACATTTACTCACTCTTTTAGCAGCAGAGAACATCATATTGCATCAGCCCTTCCTTTAATTTATCATTCCCAAACCCAGAAGAAAAAATAAATAAACTGGCTTCTGATCCTTCAATCGCTTGCCCCACGCGTACGAAATAACTCTACGCATTTCTAAGAAAAATAGTAATTCACCTGACTCCTGGGAGATGAATATAATTGGATCTTATAATTGAACGGGTAATGGAAACACAAAGATTATGCCGTGCATGATTGCGCTACGTATGAAATGTAGAATTAGTTCTAAATATATTATCGAAAAATACTGGGAGAATCCCTTTGTGATACTTAAACATGAAACCAGGGGGGTGTTTCACAAAGATCCTAAGTTGAACTTATCTCTAAGTTTGACTTAAAACTTATGGAAAGCTGTTAGCATCATTGAAAAAAAATTGTAAAAATTATTTTAAAAGGCATAAAATGTTGATTCAAATCATGCATATTTTCTATTATCTTGGGAGATTTCATGTTCTTGATGTGGAATTCATGAAAAGTCTAAAATACTTGAATTTTGCTTTTGAATGTATTTCATTATAAGGCTACAAATGGCTCTCCATAGTATTTAAGTCCAACTTAGAGTTAAGTTTGACTTAGAATCTTTGTGAAACACCCCCTGATATATTAGGCTTAAGTAGTTCAATCTCTGGGTAACTTTTTAATTTAAAAAATAGTGGTAGACTAGGATATGAAAGTCACTCTTTCCTATCAGTCGTATTGCCCGTTAATGTAAAATATATAGTTTATCAATATAGATTGGAGGATATAAAATGTCTGAGTTTGGATAAAACACCTATACTTCATGAAAGCTTAGAAGATATATTAGCAATGTCAACTTGTAGTAGAGTGTCTCATGAATAAAAATGTCGAAGAAAATAAACGATTCAGTTCTCTCAATAACAGTATTTTCAATTCTTATTTGGTCAGTGTTTGATAATATTTTTCGTTTTAGAATGGAGTAATACATACGTTGTTTTCTTAAAACTCAATAATAGTTTGTTACATCTGAACCAGTCAATTAGCATTTGTAATCAGGTGATCTGCCGCGTAGCGTAGCAGGGCACCTGTTAATTTCGTCAGAATCTATCTTATTAGGTGATCTGAATCTTAGCGTAGGAGAGCATCTGTTGATTTTGTCAGAATCTACATATTTGTTTTCCTTTCTTTCTGTATGGGATGTGTCGGAAATCTCATGAAAGGCATGGTTAAATTTGATGACAATGTTTATTACATTTTCATGACAAGTGCCATATATATGCATGATGATTTTTTCCCTTTTCTCTTTCTTTTTCTTTCTTTCTCTCTTGTTTTACATTTTATTGGCGGTCTACAATTTTCTTCCTTCTGTTTCCCTATTGGATGGCCTTGAAAGAAAGGTTTGACTGTAGATGTATTTCAAATTAAACATGTTGTGATCTTTTATGTGCTATATGTGTACATCCCATGTACTTATGGTTTTTAAACACCTGCGATATGGTTAATTTTTTAATTGATACTTTTTCATTTTAAATTTCGATTTCATTGACTAAATATTTCTGGAGTCGTGTCTGATCTATGTCATACCTTCATCCATCAAACCAGATCCATGTGCTAATGCTCCTTGTCTGAATGGAGGTACCTGCCAGGTTCGAGATGACAGTGAAGTGGGGTATATTTGCTTTTGCAAGAAGAACTTTCTGGAAATGAACTGCGGGAGAGGTATTCTTTTAGTACTCCTTACTATGTTCTTTTAGTGTATTGTATTAGAGTGCAGTTTCTCTCATTACGGCCCCATAAATATTGAACCCCTCCTTTCTTTTGACCGCACTCCCACCTCAATTCACTCTTTTAAAAAGAAATTAATGACGTTCCTCTTAAAAAACTTAATGTTTATTATTATATTTTTTCCATATTCTCTTCTTTGTTATTGGCATCAAGTTGTCGTGTAAAACTCATTGAGCAATGTTTTATTGGATTTGCGCTATATGAAAAGCAATTGTATGAATATATGCTTATCTTGAGTTTAGTCAAATGGCCATTTTTACTAACATATTTTCTCGATAACAACGATATATTTCTATTTCCCCCCGCATCTAATTACCAGATGCTAATGCGTGCCGTAGTACTCCTTGTCTCCATAGAGGAGATTGCCGGAACCGACCCGCAACAGGATCGTTTATGTGCCGCTGCTTACCTGGGACCTCGGGAGATCAATGCCAAAATAGTAACGACTTAAAATTGATTCCGTTTTATCCATTTATTTGTTATTAATTAGTTACTTTATTCATTCGTATATCTATTCATTAATTTATTTATTTATCTATTTATTTATTTCTAGAATTGAATCATTTTCCCCTCCACATTACTTTTTTTCTTCTCGTAATGAAGTCTGTTTTAATTAGTATGGTTAGTTTTAGATTTGAATTCCTTTTTTTTCTGTTGTTGTTGCTATTTTTTGTTTGTTTGTGTGTGTTCTTATTTATTTGCCTTTTGCACTGTTTTTGTTTTGGTGTGGCTCTTTGTAAGTAGCCCATATCAAAATAATGCTACTTGTACGTAAACGAAATACAGTAAATAATTCTCATTACTATAGTTTCTTTGATGTGTGAAGACACTTTTTATAATTCATGAGATTTTTAGTAGGCTGTGTGAAGTTTTTAAACACCTGCTATACTTCAAAAACTTAATAATGATGATGATAATAATAACAATAATATGCCGTTCTTGTATAGCGTATTATATCACAGTATGATATAACGTTCTATGCGCTTCCAAAAGAACTTGGATATTATTACCCCGGCTTTAGCTCCGGCAACCTAGCGTTCAGTGTATTCAAGGAATGTGTCCTACCAGGTACCTACTTACTACACCTGGGTCGAGTGCGGCACAAGTAGATTAATGTCCTGTCAAAGGACATTCGTGCCGGGGTGGTATTTGAACCACGTACCTTATGGTTCACAGTCTAGATACTTATCCACTAGATTGTGAATCACACGGTTCGCGGTTCAAATCCTACTGCGGCACTGATGTCCTTTGGCAAAATATTAATATACATTAGCCACTCTCCACCCATGTGTTGTAAATGGGTATCCGGTAGGTAAAACCTCCTTGAATGCTTGGGCACCTTTTCATGGTAGCTCGGTTAAAGTCGGGATAATAATGTGGGGTCCTCATGGAGAACATGATTACTACTGATGAGGCTACCATGGATAAACGAGACATACGAGTGATTGTATGCTTTAAGTTTGACACATATCTCTCCTAATTTGTTTTTTTTTTCTAGATGTTGACGATTGTGCGAATTCCCCCTGTCAGAATAATGGTACCTGTACGGATCGTATTGGAGGATTTATCTGCATCTGTCCAAAGGGAATCGTAGGACAGCTTTGTGAAATGGGTAAGATGCAAGATGTAAAGAATAATGATAACAATAGGAAAGTTATGCATTTTTGAAGTCATCATGGGAAACACAAATTGGCACAAAACTTTCATTTTCTTAGTTATTGATGGCGGAATAGATTTCTTTCACCAAGAGGTTGTAAAGAAATATATTTTCAAGAATTGTATTTAGGGTGGATGTAACTTTGATTTTTTTTAAGGGAAAATACATATTTCTGATTAGTTTCAAAGGTACTTTGTCCCATTTGCAGACCAAAACAATTAAAAGGTTAAATTCCAACTGCATTTGAAAGAAAATACTAATTTAGAACTTCCCTCAAAACGAAAGTGCTTGAAATGGCTTTTAGTGGGAAAATAACGACCATGGGTTGTCGCATCAACTTAAGTGATTGCAATCACCTAAGTAATAATATGATTTTACGACGCCTTTACTGAATGGTCGTACGTTTTGTGCTGCACAAAGATTCAATCAGTTGAATTTTGGCCATTACAAGCAGTGGGTTATTGATGTAGACAAATGCTCATGTACCTGTTACAGCTCATTTTATGTATGTTATTACGAAATAAAAAAAGATGTCAGTTAGTCACTCAATAGTGTCTGCCAGTGAAGTCTAGAAGGTAAACGGGTTTCATTGCATAATGCGAATACTAAAACACTTGCTAATTTTTAAATTTCACAGAAAGGACATACATGACATATTCATAATTCCTGAAAAAATTCTACAGAATTTGATGTTGGCTGCAAAATGGGTATCTTTAATACAATGCAAATGGAAGGGGACCTCACAAGATACGTCACAGAGTTGCCAATTTGTATTTTATTGATCGCAACTTTCTTTCTTCACCATTCATACTGTTTATCGGAAATTGCTCAACCTTTTTAGTATTCTGCTCCGGTTAAAACCAACTTAATATCATGGTGGGCTTTCCCCTTAAGTAACTACTTTTTTTGCGGATGGATTCAAATCCAGAAAAAGGGATCCCTGAAACCTTGTGTATAAACATAAGACTGATTTTCTTGTTTATGTCTTGATCTGATATACATTTAACTAGACTTCAGCTCCCAGATCGAAGTAACTTGTGACGCTAAAAAGATGACGGTCACACTGGTTCCAAGTCTTCTACCTGACGAGTATGACCTTAGATCCATCCATCTTGATGATGAGACCTGTAGTGGTGTCTTAGAAGACTCCAAGATCAAGCTGTCTACCCCATACGAGGATTGCGGCACAACGGTTAAGGTATATATATATTCATTCGTCCTTAACTCAAGTAGGGGAAAAGAACCTTTGCCCATGCATGCCTTAGCTTGTGTATTACTCTCCCTCAGTTGAGAATGAGATGTTTAAAAAGTAATCTTAAAACGTTTCCGTTTAATCCGGCATTTAATTATATATACAAAAAATCCTTTCCTTTGTTTATAACGCAGATGCTTTTATGTGATCTCTTTCTTTGGTCTTGCTTCACAAGTGCGCCTTCAGCGTTGGACTTGAAGTGGATTCAAATCTCATATGTTATTATAATTTTATGATTTTGATTATAGAATCTGAGCACAAGTCTTGAAAACAAAGATGAAATTTAGCGTTTGAATTTTAAGATTGGCTTTCCTCAGCCATACCAGCGAAAACGTATTCACAAAATACGATGAATAACAAAATAAATGTATTACCCAGTCAGAGGGTATTTGTTTGTTTGTTTAAACTAACTGTTAAGAAAGCATTTGAATGCATGGGGACCGATGGCTTTAAGTCCTATCCGAGGGATTTGGTAATGAGGATTAATACCTTACCAATTAAGGGCACTATCGCTTCGACTTGGTTTCGAACCGGGAACGTCCTGGTTACGAAACCACTGCTCTACCACTCAACCATCGCACCTCTAATATACCTCGTACTTTTGTTGTCACTTTCTGTTAGCTACAGAACAAAATAACGATATGTTCTTTACAAAAATTATACCCCTTAAAGGGAACCAAAACCTTGATACAGATGATGTCATCAAATTGAATGCCGCCCTCTAGTGACTAGTCATATTAAAAAACTCTAACTTCCTTATTCCTTGCCCGATTTTGTTCAAATGTTCACTGATATTTTTCAAATATCTTAAACTTTACAATAAAAGTAACTTAGTATGAAGGTTTTGGTTCCCTTTAATAATTTTGGCTGAACCCGTGTGGTATTTTAAATAACAGATGATTTTCCGATGATCCCCAAACTAGAATTTGGTTTAAAGCTTTGTATTTCTTTTCATTTACTTTCCATCCCCTTATCAGGATTCTGGTGACACCATTATCTTCTCCAACACAATACTTCATACGAAAAATGTAATCACCTCACACGACCTTCTTAAACTTCCTGTGGAATGCATTCTGGGAAAGAAAGAAACTCTCTATGGTGGCCCCTATCAACTCAAACATGGACTTCCCACTGCATTCAAGGGTATGATAAACTCATTGGCCCAAATTCACAAAGGAGGTTTGTCGACAAACCTTGGTTTTCGTTCGTCATATGACGCGTTTCTACGCGTTTTTACAAACCAGGTTTGTACAAAACGCGTAAAAACCCGTCATATGACGTACGAAACCAACGTTTGTCGACAAACCTGCTTTGTGAATTCGGGCCAATGAAACTGAACTTACTGTTGTAGCTAGGGACCAAGGAATTGAGGGGGCTCTTTTCATTTCATTTAGTCATTGGTTCAACCATTTAAAAAAGAAAAAAACATTCAGAATTACAAACGATGTTCGAAAGATATGAATATACAAAACATATTGGACATACAAATTAAAATGGGTTATGGAACCCGAAAGAAGCTTGAGCTTGTAAGTGGGGTTGCCTTTCTTTACAAATAGATAAGTAGAACTGTACAGTGCGTTCCAGAAAAAAAACGAAACCGAGAATTATCGATGTTTTATCATAACTTAATCAAAATTATAATTCATAAATGACACATATTTGTAAAGCTTAGATACTTCCCTTTAATGTGATGCAATTCATATGCTGCATATTTCACGCGTGAATGATTAACAGCAGTTTCTAAAAGGAAAATCACATTTCCAGAAAATTCATTTTCTGCCCTTTCATATGACACCTCAATCAGCAAAAATGAGCTAGGAATAACAAAGTTCTGTTTGTTTAAAGTAACGCTTGCATTTCCATAATTTGATTAAAAAAATTCGTTTTCACTGTCTGCCTGCCGCAGCGACAAACACAGTTGACAAAAGACTTTACTCCTTTTCGTTTACGATCAGCATAAAGATGACAGACTTCATGCATGGTTGATCGTCAACGAAAAGGAGTTAAGTCTTGTATCAACTCTGCTTGTTGCTACAGCAGGCAGCCAGTGAAAACGAAATTCAGATACCGTCCGCCAAATGACTTTTTAGTTTCCTCTCTTAAAATGGCTTTTAATCAATGAAAGAGGAGGATCTAAGCTTTACAGATATGTGTCATTTATTAATTATAATTGTGATTAAGTTATAGTAAAACATCGATAATTCTCGGTTTCGTTTTTTCTGGGACGCACTGTATAACAAAATTCAGATACTAATGTATACATAAGCTAAGACGAACTGAGGGCGTGTTAATGCTCGACTTTTTCAGGCCAGAATCAGGCATCTGTTACGCGTTTAGTTTAAAACACGGTTGCGTCCTTCGTCACTTTTGTAGAATCACCGAAAAGCGGCGATCACGATCGCCGATAAACTCACAAAAACGTGCGTTTACAATTTGTAAATGCGTTTAAATGGGGTCAACGCACTGACCTCTAGTGGGTCTACGTAGCATGCACAGTGCAGGTTTGCGAATCCAGCTGCAAGACCAACTAGGGCCACCCAGCAAGAATTGCCTGGAGGAGCCAGAGAAGTGAGCATAAACAGTACACCGTGGAACTGCGATTACGATGAGCGTTTACGATGAGCGTTTCGTATCGCTTATTCTGCCTTCAAAATTGAGCTTAAACGCACCCTAAGCCAAAGCACCAGTCAGCATTCACCGGCTGCAACTTTACGCCGCACAAGTAGAACAATGGGCTTCCGGTCGAAGCAGTGCCTCAGTGCAGCCAATGAACACTGACCGGTACTATGAAATACAAATCATGTAACAATAGGGACTTTTAGATTTGCACGTCGACAGCTTTGACTGCAACGTGTGACGTCATTTTAAGGCATTGCGCATGCGTTACGTCGTCTCAGTCGACGATCGAGAATGCGTCAACCTTGATTTTCCTAAATCTAGTACATACATACATAAATAACAAGCATATGCACGCACCTACACCAAAACACACAGACCCGCGACAGAGAGAGAAGGAAAGAATGGGGCAGGACTTTAAGAAAGGAATGAAGAGAGATGAAGAATAAATTGTAGAAAAATATTGCACAAATCATTATAAGTTTATTTAAGTGAGAGCAGAAAAGCATTACGACAAAGCATTACATGGGGGGGGGGGGGGGGTTTCCTAGTTGTATTACATGTGAATTACCAGGTCTACCGATAGGGGAGGATGAAGGAGTGGTTTTTAAAGTCCTGCCCCACACTTTTCTTTCCCAACTCTCCCCTCTCTCTCGGCTCTCTTTTTTTCAAGGGGAGGGGGGGGGGATATTTTAAAGCACCTCTTAATTGAATAACCGTAGGGGAAATAATTAAGGTCCATGCTGACTGCAACATCAAGAACACAATCAGTAATGAATTTACGAATTAATATCCAATATTAGTCCAATCGTCTCTTTTTTTATTTTGTATTAATGTTTGGTTTTTCATCCCTTTCTCTTTCTATCTCTCTCACTAGGTTATGGTCGATTTGAATTGACGTTGAAGCGATACGCTTCAAGTCGATTCAATGTTGTTGTTCTCCCGAACTCTAGAGATGACCGTGTTGGAGATCCAATGTTCTATGCGGCCTCCCTTGAATCTTCAGCTAACCTTACTGTATTGCTTGATGATTGTTGGACCACACCCCACGAAGAACCTAACGACACAGTGCGATATGATCTCATTGTGGACGGGTAAGCAATAGACCGGCTTACTAACATATTATATATGTATCTCTCTCAATCTCTGCACAAACTTTGAATAATTATGTTAGTAATCCGATATATTAGCATCGGCATACCCTTCGTTCACACTGCTAATATTCATCGTATAGCTGTACGATGTGGAAATACTTTTATCCTAGTTGAACGTAGTGTAAAGAAACGTCATATAGCGAAATGCAGCATCGTTTCGAATAAAAAAAACTCGACTGAACGTCACTTCGTACGGAAGTTGCACAAGTGGGCGGGGCTTTCCGTGAGTGCGTCCAGATGATTGGCCAGCTGGCACTTTTGACCTCTTCCATAGTGGATTCTTTCTACGACATTTCTTTATAGGATCCCCTTCTCTAGTCTATACCCTCATTTCGCTACACGATAATTCTTTAAACATTTCTTTATACAAGTTTCGTAAACAATTTCTGTAGTCTGTTACGAGTCATTGGTCTCATCAAGAGCTCTAAAATGCTTAGTTCAGTAAATTAAATACGAGAGAGACCAATGCAAGGGTAACATGGGTTTGTAGGGGGTCATACCATTTTCATGTTGCACTCCCCTTCCCCCTTGCTATCTTCTTGCTTTCTCCTTTCCTTTTCCGCGATTTCATGGGATGGGGCACTGCTGTGTAGTTTTAGCCTATCTTAGAATCGATGTTGAGATAAACATTAATATAAACCTGCCATATTGTACACCTGACACATCGCTTCAAAAATGCTATTTGATCAAAGTTATTACCTATCATGCTATTCTGAGGTAAATATAATGATATTCATTTGTTTGATGATATCATTTGAATTAATTCTATTTCCCACTAGTTGCCCCGACGAACCATCTGTGATGCTCTGGAATATTACTGACCCCCTCAAACAAGGATTCTCTTTCCGGGCGTTTGACTTTGTCGGTTATGTTAAGGTAAGTTTGCCAACAAATTTCGAAACCAGTCTTTTAAACTGAGAGGGCTTTCGAAAATGATTAGGTCTAATCAGAACCTAGTTCAGAGCCCTGTTTCGAAAACTTGCTTTTCAATGATAGGATACGATATAGTGATAAGGTACTGAAATCCTTGCATCTGATTGGCTGAGAGCAGTTTTTGTTATAACATAGAGAATTGTACCTTACAGTTTCCTTAGTTATCGGAATTTTTTTCTTCATATTTTATCCTAACAACCTAGTGCTATGTTGTGGGTTTATTACTAAGAATGACCGTTTCCGCTTAGAACCTGTGTACGCGGTGAGCTCGGGTGCGATAAGCGAGTTCGTAAATAGCTCTGGACTGCATGTCCCCAACATATCCACATATCTTAGACACGATGAATACTTCCCACCTGTGCATTTTAGAATAATCACTACCAAAGTGATGGAGGTGCTTCATGAATACCTTTTGTTTGCCTCTTGAGATGAATACTTCCACCTGTGTATCAGATAAATGTACTGTTGGTGCATAAATGAATACTGATTACATAACTTTCATGAGCACGATACAAGTATTCGTCTTAATGGTTTTACAATTTGGGTCCGAATGACCTTTATCTGCACATGCGCAAATCCTAATTACGAACTCGCTTATTAACTTACGATTACGTTTTGATTTGACCTTGGTTTTCTGTCGAATAAACACGTTGTTAACGTAAAACCGCTGGGAAAGTGTCGCAGCAAAGCTGCCATAACTTTGGCATATGACAATGAATCGTAATGATCTTTATATTTAAAAAAAAATGGAATAATCGGATTAACTAAACATTACATTTCTTTTAATAACGAAGGAAAAAAGGGGACAAAAAGACAAGAAACTTTGTATGAAGAAAGACAAATAAAAGTCCGAAATATTGTACAAAATTACACATTTCTAAACTGTGGACAACAAAAATATTCGAATATGTTAATAAATAACTATTAAAGAAAATGTCTGTGAAATATCATTTTTATAAACCCTTGCGTCCGGATATGTCTGAAAATAATCCAACAGAATGTATTTTCATACCTTTAATACGAGCACCGATCTACCGAGTGATGGCGTCATGAAGGTACAATCCCACATACGATAGTTTTTGTTGGGGGTTGATCGGTACAAACGGCTTTCAACATGTAAATATAATATCGTCTGCAGCTGCTGCAGTACCAATGTGCAATGCCGCCTTGAGCTCATGCCTGTGTGTGTGTGTGTGTATGTGTGTCCATGTCAGGCCTATAGTTTGTTTACGTAATTTCATGTCAATGCGCATGCGCGAGTCTGTGGAATGGCCGTGTACGTCACGGTTCCCGTAGCCTAGGGTAGCTGCTTTCAATTTCTGAAAAACTCCCCATTCATTTTCATTGTATCTTCGAAAGTAAAGTCATAGGCACATCGAAAATTTCGGCACCGGCTCCGTAAAGGTCTAAGGAATATGTAGCCATGCGACTGGATATGTCTGGAAATAATCTGAGGTTAGTCTTCGGAGACAACTGAACATGAAATATTTGATAAAATGAGAAATAGATCATCATTTAACTTTTTCATATGTACTTCGATATGATCATTTTATATCATTCCTCGAAGTTTGAGTGGAATCCGCTGACAAACAAAGGAGATAAGATAGGGGGGAATTTTTAGTTATAAAATGAGCTTGGCAACGTGAGTGCTTAAATGACCGTTACATATTCAAAAGGATTTCGGTGTTATCAGCGAGGTAATTGTACTGCTCCGAGTCGTCATGCGCGCCTGTGTGTGTTAAAGCAATATGAGCAATGAGAATACAAATTAGTGAAGAGCGAAATGTTAGGTGAGGATTTCCAAGTGAAAATGTAATAATAGAAATGCAAATTCGAAACGTCCAAATTATAGTAACGTTTTTACTTCAAGGTCTGCATATATGTCCTGGTCCTATCAATTTTCGTAAATTGGATTTCTGTGAAATTAGCAATTCTTTTTACATTAGTGGTCTGTGAACATTCATTGCTAGTCTACTTTCATAAAATGTATTTTGTTTATTAAAAGAATTTCTCGATTCATTACATATATTATACCTTTATAACATGATTTGTTTGTCAATTCAACCATTTTTCTAAATTTAATTGACAGATGCGAGTCGATTGAGCTGTAAATATTTGAGTTACGTTACTCGTGGTACAGGGTGTCAACAAGGTTGCAATAGGGACTTTTAAATTTGCCCGTCGACAGCTTTGACTGCAACGTGTGACGTCATTTTAAGGCACTGCGCATGCGTCACGTCGTCTCAGTCGGCGATCGAGAATGCGTCAACTTTGATTTTCCTAAATCTAGTACGGTACTAGTATTCCGCGTGCTCATAAAAAATACAGTTCCTCAGGTAGACAAAGGAAAGGAACCCTTCACTGTTATTATGTAAAAATGTGTAGAACAGGTGTCACAAGTCATGCATATTCACCTGTTCAACACATTTTTACATAATAGCAGTAAAGGGATGTTCTTTTGTCTACCACAGCCATTGTTGAGGGTAGAATGAGGAACTGTATTTTGTCGTCTTTCTTTGTCCGTCATTCCGTCATGTTCATAGTCTTCCTGCATGCATGTATATCGTCGAGTGCAATCTAAAAGATTTCTAATTGTAGTCAACATGCAGTTCAATACGTTGACACGCATGATCAGTCGGCGTTCGTCGTGTTCTCGTCCACTCAATCTAAAAGTCCCTAATGCCTTCCCTCGCCGACTTTGTCAAATACATAAAGGCCCGGTCACACAGCCTTTCGCGTCTGTATCGCGGGTAAAATTTCGCGTTTTTTTTTTTGCCCGCGGTTGCCCATGGTGGAAAATGTGCAAAATTGGCTTACCCGCGGTTTACCCGTGGTATGCCCGCGGAACAGACGCCGGCGACTGTTCCGCGTCCTTATCGCGGGTGAAGCGCGGCGGTACCGCGGCCTACCACGCTTACACGTGGTACACACGCTAATGCACGTGATAACAACGCGGTACAGACGCGGAACAAACGTGCTATGACCGTGCTCCACCCGCGATTACCCGCTAAAATTTCGCGTCCAATTCCGCGTGTAACCACGTCTTAACCGCGGCCGTAGCACATCCTAGCACGTTCGTTCCGCGTCTGTACCGCGTCTTTACCGCGTGTGTACCACGTGTACCACGTGTACCGCCCGCGATTACCCGCGGTCTAAATTTTTTGGGCAGCCCAAAACTTTTTCGCGCGGCCAACCGCGTGTGAATTTCTTACCGCGTGTAACGAGGGTAAAGTACGGCTGTATCGCGTCTTTATCGCGACCTCAAAGCGTCCAACAGCGTCTGCTTCACGGGCAGAAATTTTTGGCCGTGATTCGGCCGCGATACGCCCGTGGAGGGCTGTGTGACCGGGCCTTAACCTCCAAAATCTACCAAGCCTGAAGTCTAACACTCGCTCTACTTTTTGTCATCTACTTTGCCTATATCTACCTTTCTAATATAATTTGTTTGTGATTTAAACCAGTATTCTCAATTTTATGCGGGAGTGAGTCCATTGTGTTGTAACTATGAGTGTTACTAGTAGGTACCGGTCATACACAAGGTTGTGACGCCTTAGACGCAGACTCAGTGATGCACCAATCATGATTTTTAACCCAATAATCTCATTTTTATTTTCCTTCCCTATATGTTCATGATACAGTATAAACAATTGTGAAATAAATCGTTTTCCATGATTATTTTTGCAGGTCCATGTCCATTGTGATGTAACCGTGTGCGTTACTGGTAGTAGCGGTTGTAAACAAAGTTGTAACGGTAACCCTCTGCCGCGCCTTCGACGTAGCCTCCGTGAAGCACCAAGCCTCTCAATGACGAACAACGCTATTTCGAGTGACCCGATAACCCTCAATTATGACGTATAAGATCGAGAAGTACACAAAATGGTATTTGTTTAAAGGAAAATCGTCAGTTTGCACGTCTGGTATTAAATATGAATATTTTATGAATTGAACGAAGGATATCAGGGCAAGGGTTAATAGCGAAAGTGTGATGACGTATATGATCGAATGATCAAGCAATGCTTCCAATTTAAGATTTAAAAGAAACATCGTCAATTTTCCACGTCTGGTATCAAAAATGATTATAAATTAACAGAAAATGCAAAAGAATATTGATTATAATTATATTGAAGGCAATACATTAACACTTTGCTGGTTTATCCATTTTAATAATTAATTGACCAAATTATCGTATATCACATGTCATAGTTCAAACAAGTTCGATATCCACTAAAGTTCCACAATTCAGTATATTCTATCAAGGGTTGAAGTAAAATTGAAAAACCTAGTCAATTTACCAATTTAGATACAAGTAGAAGGAAGTATATTATTTTGTCTGAAGAAATGAATCATAATTTATCTTATTTTCCACTTACACTACTAGAAGCAAAGATGACTAGAAACATGTTTAGTGTAACGGTGAAGATCTTAACAATTTCGTCGTGACCATGAGAAATGACTGAAATCTTGTTTACCATCCATAAATTGTGTGTTTTGCTGGATAATTTGATCGAGCATTACTTTTGGATGCAGTAGCACCGATGGGTCACTACATGCTTTCGATCTGATGTAAAACAAATGAAATTCTCAATAGCTATACGAAATAGATATCATTAGGAATGAGAGATCCTCCAGTTAAATTATTTGATTAGGATTATGTTATAGAACACGACTTCAACCAACTTGATCGCAAGTCTAAGAGACCTGTATACAGCTCACGAGACAAGATAATGTTGACCTTTTATATTCCTGAGTTTTTTCAAAACTGATAACCCACGAGACCAAATGATTTACTTTCGATAGCCGTCTTATTTTCTGAGCATTATCAGGACGCTCTTTGGACAAGATCGAAATATTTGATGTCAGGGCTTAGTTTAATGGTTCAATGGCCTGAAGGTCCATGAGACCGAAATAGTCAGATAGTTAGCAGTAAGTGCTTATTGTGATCTCCTCGACATTTGATCTCGTAACCCATCTGTCAGCTGACATGACATCAATTTTACACTTGTGTATTGAGAATAAATAGATAATAGGCCTAGTAATACTACATGTACAAAGGTGTAAATTTAAACGCCGCAAATACTTTGCTTGTAGGCGCCATGATAAGCATATGAATCGATTTTCAGGAGGGGTTGTTCATAATTAGTTAGATATTTAGAGATTAATTCAGATACAGACATTTTCAATTTTGTTTTCATTTTTCCAATGCTTGAACTCGAGTATTCTCAAGTCGAATCATCTTATGCTTTGACGCGGTCAAAAATCTGCTTCATGAAGTCCATTTGTGAAGCCAGATTGGATGCTGTAAGATAAATAGATAGGACATTCCATTACATTCTGATAAAGTTATGTGTAACGACGAAATACACCTGTTGTTGTAATTCATGAGATTATTCATCAATCATACGATTGAGGCGAAAGCATATATATCTATTTGAAAATTAAAGAGTTATGAAAAATGTATAAGTTACTGAGAACGTAGGACTCGTATTCTGTGAATATAAGCCAGTGTTAGCAGATTTGAAAAGTGACCCAGATTACGAGAGAGCGTTGTCCTTCGTACAGGAAATGTTATCATCATTAAGTACAAAAGTATTTGTTCAGAGAATGTTCTTCCTCAGGAAACTAGAGATGTTCCATGTTGATAACACATTCCTGACCCTTTTCTACCATAATAATTCAGAGCATGTTAGCATTCAATCTCTTTTGCACATCTGGTAGTCTGTCACTAAAACAGAAGGGGAGATTTGATAGCATCCGAAAAATGGCACAGAAGGTATTATGATCGGAAATAGTCCCTGTTCAAGCATTGTACGACAAACCTCTACATGCGAAAGTTCAGAACATGTTGGCAGACAGTACCCACCCACTCAATGATTGTTTTAAGTTCAATCGTTCCGGAATACGTTAATAGTCGTAAATCGCTCTTCATTTCCCGGATTAAAGCTTAGCTTTTGACAAATACTAGTAGCAAGTAGTTGTTGTTTTAATACATTTTTGACGTAATATTTTTTTTATTATTTTTTTATCTTTTTTGTCTGCAAAAGTTTATAAAGGGAGGGGTCGGTGATTGTTTGTTTTCTTCAAAATGTACCATTATACACGACTGCATTCATTCTTCTATTTTCACCTCATAATCTCACTTACTTTAATTTTACAGTTCACAACTATGTAGATAATGTACATCAAAGTGCCTTAACAGGACACATGTCATGATACTATACCAGGCAATTATTACTATTTCAATATTCTGAAACCAATATGTATATCAAAAACGTTAAGGAACAATGGTAATGCATTCATAAAATGCATTGTGTATATGTAAGTAAACAATCATATGCATGTCGGCTAATATAACCACACACAAAAAAAAGTAATTGTTAGTGTGATTCGTTTTATGTTCTTTGTGCGTTGTAATCGTAAAAGTATTGTACCCTGTAACAAAGCCAAACGAAACAGAATTTCTTTGTATTACAATGGACCATTAAAGACTAAAGTGTTCCAGATTTTATTAATACATCGCTGAAGTATAAGTGCACTTAAATGTTTCATTGTTTTAAAAGAAATATGAATCATGATATTATTTTAATAAAAAGCAGATTTGACAAAAGATTTAACTCCGTTTCGTTGACAATCAGCCGTATCAAAGAGTCTTCATGCATGGCTGATTGTCAACGAAACGGAGTTAAGTCTTTTGTTAATTTCGTTTATTGATACGGCGGGCAGCCAGTGAAAACGAATTCGTTTAATAAAATTATGGAAATGCAAGCACTACTTTAAACAAACAGAACTTTGTCATTCCTCGCTCATTTTTCCTGATTGAGGTGTCATATGAAAGGGCAGAAACTCAACTTTTTAGAAATGTGATTTTTTTTTCGAAATTCAGATACCGCCCGCCAAATGTCTTTTTGGTTTACTTCCTTCAAATTGCTTTTAATCACTCATGCATGAAATATGCATCTTCTGAGTAGCATCACATGAAAGAAGAGACTCTAAGCTTTCCAAATATGTATCATTCATTAATTATAATTGTGATTAAGTTATGATAGAACATCAATACTTCTCGGTTTCGTTTTTTCTGGAACGCACTGTATAGTGAGTAAACGACGAAATTGCATTTCTCTGTTCAGCTCTTTTTCATTATCTTATAATATAATTTATTATTTGGGATCTTACTGTATGAGATTGAAGTATAGCCCCACCTGTGTGAAGATAATTAAATGAGAAGACATGGGGTTAATAAGAGTTTCATGGCCGAGAGAGAGAGAGAGAGAGAGAGAGAGAGAGAAAGGAGATAGGGGGTGCAATTTTTCATATTTCCGAGGACAATTTTTTTTTACATAGTGCTCACTAACCCCCCCCCCCCCCAACACTGAGCAAAATATTGGCCGGCACGATTTTTATATTTCAGCACACTAACATTCAAATTTGGGCCCCCACCCCTAAGAATTCATGGATCCGCGCCTGTTCTGTATATATGAAGACCTACCGCATTCATCAAATCTATACTAGCGCTATGAGAGTCAAAAAGGTGCTGGGCGTCGCATACACATGCTTTAGCAGTCAGGCAAAACACACATTGGCAAATTATTATTCGATACAATCTGAGAATGTAAACTATTATTTTTTAATTATTTTTAAAATAATTCCATAAATTGGGGTAAAACAAAAATATTCCAACTATATGAGCGACAGTGTATATTTTTAAACAGCAGGGGAAGGAAATCCACCCGGTGGCGAAGCGAAGTTCCCCAATAGAGGGCGCGACATAGACAGAGCCATCTATACACAGACTTTGGCGAACTTGGTTTCACTGGGTCAGAACATGGCGTATATTATTTTGTTTTGTGCTTGTGCAACAAAGCAGTAGTCGTCATATTGTGTCCAACTCGAACCGGGTTGGCCTGACTCTGTGTATAGATGGATTTTATTAAAGATACGTGTATACATGTACATATAGAGCGCACACGACAAAGTCATCAGCTCCCAACAAAGTTGATATGATATTAATAATTCATGCTATATCGAGTAACTGTATTTTCAACGTTTCTCACATGTTTGATTGCTATTAAAACATCGACACTGCCTATTTCCGGAGTGTCTGCCCCTTGATTTTCGTGACCATGAAACAAAATTCATTAGAATATACTAAAATATACTGTGTTCATGTTGTATGGCTTTCAAATTTAGAAAGGTTTGACGGATTCTCGCCTCCTCTTTGCAATCTCTTGGTTTGTCATTATCGATCTCGCTTTCTTTGTGTTTTGAATGAGCTAGAATGCGATGACGACGGAGAACAGAACCTACAAACCGATCGTAAGCCAGTATTTAATTTTGCCAAATAACTTAATTGGAATAAAAATGCCCCTTGAATACAAAACATGGAGAGTGACAATAACGAAAATGCGGGAACGTCTCACTTTAGAGCGAAAATATTCTGATTGTTGAGGCTTTCTTACGATGTTACACGTCATTATCGTGGGTTGAATATCTTCGACGTATTTGAAAATTGTAGTCCTATTAAAATTTAAGTCACATCAGAGAGAACTGAGGCTGTAACGTCATAGATCCATTCACAAATAATCAGTGCAGTCCATTCTACAAAATAGGGGCGCACAGTTTCAAGTGCATTGTGCCGTGATTCGTTTTATTCGTTTCTCCTGGTACCTGTGATTTTCATCGAAAATAAAACTGAAGGGTGAGTCAATGTATTCTTTAATAGTAAAATAGAGTCCCTGCGTGAAGAACAGTGGTCATCCTATTTGTTTAATAGATAGTGCCCTGAGCCGGGGCTGCAACGTTATTTGTTTCTCGGCCTAAAGGACAAGTCCACTCCCAAATTAACTTACTTTTAAAAGAAGCAGAAAAATCAGACAAACCAATCCAAACAAGTTTGAGCAAAATCGGATATATTATAAGAAAGTTCTTAATGACATGAAAAACTAGAAAAATCACAAGACAAATTGGCAACTCACTCATGAGTCTGACGTCATTGCCTCACTATCCACTAATTGTGACAAATACACATTTCCAACACCAGCATTCAAGTTATAGCAATAGAATAATTTGTTTTCACTTAAATCATGAAAAATGTGAATTTTGATAAGCTATTTATATACAAATCAATAATTATGAATTATACAATATCCTGACAATAGTATACATTTTTCAAAGTCACATACAAGATTTTGTGAAATGTCATGCACGCAATGTCATACAAATTACTTGAACCTGGGCAAAGGCGTGGGGAAATCAAGTTTTGGGGGATAAAAAATATAAAGCAATTGAAGTAGTGAGGACATGACGTCACAAACTGATAACCAAATTGGAAATTGGTGTAGTGATTTCCATTGTTACATACTTTTTCATACTTTATCCTTATTAGTTATTTGATTTCACTCAGTTTTCGTTTGCTCTGTTTCTCTTGTTTTTCCTAGAGATTGGAGTTTTATACCATGGTTCTTGGTACCACATTTACCATGGTTCTCATTACCATGGTTGCCATGGTTCTCGGTACCACGTTAACCATGATTCTCCCGTACCACGGTTACCATGGTACTTGTACTACATATAACTAAATAGTTCGGTGTTACCATGGTTCTTTGTCCAAATTTCCATCCACCATAAGAATCATGATAACCATGGTTTACATTTAGAACCATGTTAAATACATGGCCTATTATTTATCCTGTATTTATGATTTGTAACGTTTTTATAAAATTTGATTTAGAGGAATACGACCAGTAATGATTTGTTTTCACTATACGTAGACTTTCTCAGAGGCAATATTTCCTTACTCGTTCTCTCTCTCTCTCTCTCTCCGGCCCTCTCTCTATCTCCCCCTCTCACATACACACACACACTCTCTCTCTCTCTCTCTCTCTCTCTCTCTCTTTCTCCCTCTCTCCTTCCCTTATCTCCCCCTCTGTCTCTCTTTCTCCCTCTGTCTCTCTTTCCCTTTTTTTTTGGTATTAAAATATACTTTGTTAATAGTTCTCTGAGACTTTTGTACTATTGTAAACTCTATTGCTCCCTAGATCATCTTAGATAACCTCTGCGGCCGGATGAGGAAAGGAAGATCACGAGAGTTCAAATTAACAGGAAATAACTCCGACTTTGTGAAAATTTGGGGAAAGTCCCCCAAAATGATGTCGCAAGGCTAAATACCCTGCCATAGTTTGCAGCAGTGCCGTAATGAGCAAAAACTTGGCGGCGGGAGGGGGGGGGGGGGCAAAAGAGAATCCCCATCACCACCAGGTGACATAATAGGTAATTGTATTTTAAGGGGGGGTGATGATATTGACGATAACTTTCAAGATGTAGACATACAAACTACGTTTTAGCTATTGCGTACTTTTTCGGGGTTATGTACTTTTCATCTATCGACTTTAAGAAAGTGTGATGGGGGGGGGGGTCAACAATAAAAAGGGGCACCTCAAACGGGAAACCTTAATGTAAAAATATACCCTTTTTAGACATTTCTATATATACTCCTACATTGTGATAACATTATCAGGGATGATTTCAATGTTTGTTTCTCTCTTTACATGGTCCAAAATACTGCTTAAAAATCGTACTTTGCAGTTGGGTGTGATGGTCTGAATATACAGTCAAACCTGCTTTAGTGACCACCCGTCTACAAAGGCCACATTTCTCGTTTCCCTTGAAAATGGTTTCTTATTAAAACATATCCTATAAGAACCTGTCTACTATTGACCACATGTCTACAAGGACCACTTTTTATATTTCCCTTGGGTGGTCGCTGTAGACAGGTTTGAATACATCTATTTCCGAGCGAGTAAGCAATGTTAAGATTTGTAAGGTCACAGTGCAAAACTTACATCGTATAAAGAGGAGGAACACAATTATGATGGGGTTTAAGCACATTCTAATCATGAAAAATGAAATGATTTTTATAAGAAACAATATATCAACTTTAAATGCGATCGAAACCAATACAAATTTATCTTAGTTGCTTTAAATTATGAGCACATTTTATTGCAAAAGGAAAAAGGGGCACATATCCCATGACAAAATGACACTTATTAGAAAAAAGTAGCACATGCAAAGTAAAAATTGGAATTATCAGAGGTGACATTGGGTTCTTCTCGCACCTGATAAGGGGCACTAACCAGAGATGCAAAAAAAGCACTTATGAGAACTGAAAAGGGGCACTTATTACAAAGGAAATCAGAGGCAATTATCAGAAGGAAAATGGCACTAATTATGACGGATAAGGGGCACGTGTGTGAATAACAGGGGCACTTATCAGATATGAAAAGGGCCACTTATTACAAAGTTAAAGGTGGTATCTCTCAAATAGTTATGAGGGCATTCACCAAATATGAAAAGAGGCAATTATCAGAATAAAAAGAGGTACTTTTCAAAATATAAGGGACACCTGAAAACATGCAGTTCATAGAGGTGAAACGGAACTTATCAGAGGTGGTAAGGGTACTTCTTATACCTGAAAAGGGGCACTCACCTGAGATGAATAGGGGCACTTGTGAGAATAGAAAGGGGCACTTATTACAAAGAAAAATTGGCACTTGTCGTAGGGAAAGGGGCACCTTTGAGATTTTAATAGAAGTGTTAATCAGAGGTGTGAGTAGCGGCACTCATTAAAGATAAAAAAGGGCCACCGTAGAAGAATGTGGAACAGAAACCTGTATGAAAAAAGGAGCGGTTATTTGAAGTAAAGGGTGCACCTTTCGTATGTGAAAAGGGGTACTTAAGGGTTTATTTCCTGATTATAAATGGGTAAATTTGTAATTTTAACACGTAAACCAATAGGATCGCAATGAGGGCATCTTTTAAAAGACTATTGACCGGTAGGCGGGTATGAGGGCACTTTTCAAAAGACTATTTACTGGTAGGCGGCATGGCTAAAATTACGACTTCAATTTCGACCAATCAGATGGCTAGATTTTTAAAGTGAGGTATATAATATAATTTACAAAACAGTGAGAAAAAGACCCAAAAAATCATGTAATTTGAGCAACGTTTGTAAATCACTTATCGAATTAGAAAATACACCACGTTTTTATGGGGGGGGGGGGGGGCAACTACCCCCTAACTCCACCCCCACCAGTACGCCAGTGGATTGCAGACACCAAGCCCTGCCATTTGTTGTGCGTAATAGTGCCTGCACAGTGAAACTTTGCTGAGGGCATACTGCAAAATCCCTCTGGTTCAAGTTTTATTTAATATAGTTAGGAATAATGGTAGATACATGTGTTTAAGCAATTTACTTTTTTTCCTTATTTTTCTTGTGCCAAACGACTGTGGTTTGCAGACGTGTAGTGACCAAGATAAGAGCTGGTGTCTCACAGAGTCCTACCTTTCCCATTTTTATTATGGGCTTGCGAGCCGGAGGTGAAGGTGTTTTTTTTTCAAGTTGCTACAGCCCCACCCCTCGCCACCGATCGAGGTGATATTTCATTGTTTGTTGGTTTGATTTTGTTTGTGTTATCATTTCTTTTAATTTCATATTTTGTTTGGTTAATTTTTGTTTTAGTTTGTCTTGTTTTCGCATTACCTGGACTTTTCGGACGTCACTTGTGCTCCTCAGGTCATTCATTACTTTACATCCTAAGTTCCCCTAGTGACCCCCAAAAATCAGTCCAACAGGGCCCTGCCCTTCCCCTCCATCTATTACAGGTAAGATAATATCTACTAGGCAATATGAATAATTTCTATTTCACGCGAGAATGTACGTACTTGCTCCGTAAAACAATTCGTGTTCATCAATTCCTTGTTGCTTTAAAAGGAAATCATCAGAAGGTTTGTGGAGCCAGGATATCGCATCTTTTCCTCTTATGACCTAGGAGGTCATTACTTGTTTTGTGCCAATGCTGTGTTTATTTTATTTTTAAGCTATGAGGTTCCGCTTTTAGGGATTAAAAATAAACATTACTATAGTTCACCGGAAAAGTTTGGTTGCCAAGTTAGTTTTTACTGGACGTTTCAATCAAATAAAAAATGAACAAAAAAGAAAGAAACGGAAAAAATGAGGAAAAAATGAAAGTAAGCAAGAGATATAGAAAGAAAGAATTGGAAGTAAGGAAGGAAGAGAGAAAATTAAAGTTAATAATAAAGAGAGGAAGAAAAAAGTGCCCATTTTACGTAGGGAAAATGTTTCATTTTCTTCTTAATAAGCGCATCTTCCCTTGTCCCCAGTATCCCTTTTCTCCTCTGATAAGTTCCCCTATCCAAATCCGATCGATGCCCCCTTGTACCTTGACAAGTGTCCCTTTTCCTCTGTAGTAAGTGTATATTCCCTATTAATAGGTGCCCCTTTTAATTTCTGATGATAACCCATTTTCCTTTCAAGTAAGTGGCTTTTGCCCTTCTGATTATTTCGCCTTTTTCTAATATAATTGCCCCTTTGCTTCCCTACTCCTTTTCACTCCTGATAAATGCCCCCCCCTTTTTTTTAAATATAATAAATTCAGTTTGTTACTTTGATTTATGTCCCTAGAATGTCCTTTGTTGCTCTTTGAAAAGTTCAGCTTTTTACTAACATTTTCCATGGTTCCTTACCGCTCGCTTCAGACCACCACACTCAACTGCAAAGTATGGTAGTGAAGCAATATCTTGAACCACGTAAAGAGAAAATCTTTAACGCTACCCCTGATATTGTACATGAAGTAGGGGTATACCAAGTGTTTTCTTTTGTCAAACCGTTCTGAGGTAACCTTTTGCAGGTGCGCGTTTCCCCCTGTGAAGTGACCTTTTTGTTGGAATAGGAAAATCAAAAGGTTCAATGCTACGCGGCAGATAACCTAAATAAAAGCTTCACTGTCCCTCCCATTGTCCCTCCCACGTCAACAAAAACATGTTAAAAGTGTACACCCATGAACTCAACGTCCAACACTACATGTACTTTTTTTGCTTCTAAGTGGATTTTCTTATTTGTATGACTTTTTCTTGTAATTCTTTCCTTTCTATTTAAAGCGTATAGGGACATGCTATCCTGTAATGTGTTATGCGCTATAAAAGAACCGAGTATTATTATTATTATTAGACGCAGCAGATTGTTGGACCGCATTTTCCTAATTAATTTGCACCCGACCCTGATTCTAAAATAACGTTTAAAAACAGGAAAATTTAAAGTGCAGACAACCTTCTGATTATTTTGAACAAAAGCATAAACTAATCGTCGGTTTTAAATGTTCAAATGCTCGGAGAATACGGGCCGTAGAGTGCTCAAGGTGTTCGCAAAAGGTTTTGGGGACGTTTACACTTTAAAAGGGAAGTCTCCACTGATATAAAGTTGGTTTTAATAGAAGCAGGAAAAAAAAAGAAAAGAACACGTCAATTTCTCATTTATATATTTACGCCCATATAAACATGTACACATGTATTCCTTTATATGAACTAAAGGCATGATTTAACAACATGTAACAGAAAAATCTAACTGATCTAACAAAAAACTAACTGAAAAACAAAACAAACCAGCCGCCCCCTCCCCCCCCCCCCCCCTTGGCGGCATAACAAATACGAAAGAAAGAAGAAAAAAGAGAAAAGGGGAAAATAAACTTTAACATAAATCATTGGTATTGGTAGGAGTTGCACTGCGTTGCCCATCATCCAATGGTGTACACGTAGGCACCCTAACTTCCAGTCTTGGCAAGCCAGGGAGTTCATTTTTCTTCCCAATTCTTGCTATTTCCTTCTCAATTTTGCCCCTTTTTTGTTACCATTTCCCAGATCCCAGTGGGGGGGGGGGGGGGGGGGGGGGGAGAGGATGTGCCCCCACCCTCCCTTTGCTGAAGAATATTTCAATTTTGAAACTCAATTCACGCGTTTTTATTTAAACATGTCAATTTTTTCATTATTAAGGCTTCCGGAGTATTGGCTCAGTCAGTATATAGAGCGTCCTCCTCACAACCGGGAGGTCGTGGAGGCCGTCCGCGTTATACCAAAATACATTAAAAGATGGGAGTTGCTGCTACCTTGTTTGGCGTTCAATAATAGGGACTTTTCGTTTTACACGACGAGAGCGTGGACTGCCGCATGTGCCATTGTGTTAAGGCACTGGGCCGTGCCCGGCAGTGCCTTAAAAAGACGTCACATTACCTTAAAAGGATGTCACATGTGGCGGTCCACGTTCTCGTCGTATAAAACGAAAAGTCCCTAATAAGGGATAGAGCAACGTCGATCTGGCGCTGCTCAGTGGCTGCCAGGCTCACGATTAATTGGGCAAAAAGAATTTCCATTTTCGGTTTAAATAAAATTTTGAGTGGACTTTAAAAGATTATTATTATTAATATTTTATACCGTTGAAAAGAAAACTTGAGGTTTAAACTAGCATTGCAGTTAAGTTCAAATACTTATTTACATGAAATGTAATGACTTGCGATGATTTGAGGCAGAAAATTATTGATATATCGGCAAGTAAAATAAAAAATAGTGAACCTGGCATGTTCAGTGAGGGTGTCGCGCTTCGAGTATAAATTCAGCTTAAGTTTTTGTTGAGATTGATGGCGTTTTCATCGTCATTTGATGGCCAGTCAAATGACACAAAATAATTGATTCAGTCCTAGTTTTCTGACATGGTCCGGGATTTAGGACAGTCGATAACATTTTCACAAGATTTCTCTTCCACTGTAGAGAAATAATAATGTAATTAATCATTATGAAAAGGTTGACAAAGGGTATACACCGAATCGCGTGAATTGAGTTTAACAATTGAAATTTTCTTCATCAAGAGGGGGGGGGGGGGGGGGGGCGTCTCCCCCTGCCTGCGCAAGCGCTCACGCGCCGTATCTGTCCGTCTTTCATTGTGCCCCCCCCCCCCTCTTCCACATTCCTGTCTCCGCACCTTGGTGTACACACCTATAAAACCCGAGAGGCGGTGTTGGGTTAGAGTACTTCATTCAACAACATTGCGTGACGAGGATTGCTCCCTTATAGATAAAATGGCCAAGTTCTATTTTGTGGCCGTGTGCAGCCTTCTTGCTGTTCTATCCCACAGTACACTCGGGAATGCAGCAGGTAAGCCATACTTCCGTAAAGAAGTGTTTTTTCTTCGATTTGCATTGGCTCTACCATTTTAATTTGCTCTACTATTTTAATTAATCCATCTATCTCTCCCTCTCACTATTCCGTTTTTCTTTTTTCTCCTCTCCCACCATCTCAACCTCTTTATTATAATCACCCCCCTCTTTCTTACTCTCTCTTCCCCCTTACTCATTCCCCATCCCCCCTCTCTCTCTCCCTTTCTCTCATCACCCCTTTGTCTTTAAATACTCCTACCCCTCTTTCTCTCTCCCTGTCTATTTCCCCGTACCCCTCTCTATCCCATCTTCCCCTCCCCTCTCCCCCTCTTTCATCATCTCTCTTTCTTTCTCTCGGTCGGCCCCTCTCTCAACCTCCCTATTATAATCACCCCCTCTTTCTTACTCTCTCTTCCCCCTTACTCATTCCCCATCCCCCCTCTCTCTCTCCCTTTCTCTCATCACCCCTTTGTCTTTAAATACTCCTACCCCTCTTTCTCTCTCCCTGTCTATTTCCCCGTACCCCTCTCTATCCCATCTTCCCCTCCCCTCTCCCCCTCTTTCATCATCTCTCTTTCTTTCTCTCGGTCGGCCCCTCTCTCAACCTCCCTATTATAATCACCCCCTCTTTCTTACTCTCTCTTCCCCCTTACTCATTCCCCATCCCCCCTCTCTCTCTCTCTCCCTTTCTCTCATCACCCCTTTGTCCTTAAATACTCCCTCCCCTTGTCTTTAAATACTCCTACCCCTCTTTCTCTCTACCTCTCTCTTTCCCCTTACCCCTCTCTATCCCTTTCTTCCCCTCCCCTCTCCCCCTCTTTCATCATCTCTCTCTTTGTTTCTCTCGATCGGCCCCCTCTCTGTAACTTAGATCCGTGTGATCAAGATCCCTGCCAGAATACAGGGACCTGTACTTCAGGGACCAACTCTACAGGAACAAATCCCCTTTCGAGCGGCTACCAGTGTACCTGTCTAAATGGCTACACGGGAACAAACTGTGAAATCGGTATGTTCTACTATTTGTTCTACTCTACTCTTAAATATAATGTCAGTGACACTTCCTCTGTACATCTCCTCGCTCTTTCAGCAACAGAGAACATCATATTGCTTCAGCCCCTTCCTTTAATTTATCATTCTCAAGAAAAAACAAAATAAACTGGCTTTAGATCCTTCAGTCCCTTGCCCCACGCGTAAAAAATTACTCCATGCATTTCTAAGAAAAATAGCAATTCACCTGACTTTTTTGGAAATCTCTGTAAACATACCTCTACATAATTATTCTTCCTAATTTGTTTATAGACTATTAATGGACATCCCTTTTATCCTCTGGGAAAGGCGCTTTGTAATATTATCATTACTGTCAGAATGAACTGGAGTGGGAAAGAATAGCGTATTTACGGTAGGCCAATGTTTGAATTGAATTGAATTGAAATGTATTTCCATCATCATGACAATATATACAAAGATAAAATATGGAATTTCATAACATGTAACAATATCAAAATTACATATAAAATTGACATACAGCATGTATTAAGATCAAGGAGTTTGTGGGCGACTGTTGTAACTACTTGATATGATTCCATACCATTGCAAACTTTAAATATAGACATGTTTCCAAAATACTTGCATTTATTCCACAACATTTTGGGTAATGTCCCTAGTCCAGATTCTGGCCAATTTCATTTTAATCTCCACCACACCAACGTATATAATGCAACCTTCCCCTACTTACTTACTGCCAGCCGAAGATGGCGTGATCATTGAATTCGGACGCCCGGCTGGCTGCGTCTTATTGTTTTCGTGAGTACGTTGATAACACCATCTTCGGCGGCTTGAATCAATTGTTTGGACGATAATAAAGAACCACCCAGATTCTAGACTACAATATCCCCCGTATGCGAACCAGGGCGATCAAAGTGGTTTCTCTACTGAACTATACACCTTCCTTTCATGTTGCCCTGCTCTCCTCCTTTCTGTCTTGTTTGCCATTCAATGAGAGAGAGAGAGAAAGAGGGAGAGAGGGGATACGCGCGTATAACTCACATATCTTAAAGGTCGTGTAGCTTGGCAAATACTGGTTAGCGCCATCTACGTCTTCTTTTGGACAACTGCACGTAAACGAATGAACTTGGTTTACGGTAGTCAGCGACTTAATCTCTACATTGTCAGCGTATAGAATGGATTTAAATTGTTAAATATTACCGGTGACAGGAGGAGGGGAGGGGAAGGGCTCTGAGGATTTTGTTGTTATTGGGCGGGGGGGGGGGGGGTCATGAGGGGAGCTGAGGGTATAAGGTAATGTCACGCGAAAACAGAAAAAACCAAAACCAAAATTAACCAAACGAAATTGGAAAATTATAACAAATGAGAACACAAAAATCAAACCAACAAACAATGAAATATCACCCTCGATCTGTGTAGCACCTTGAAAAATATTCTCACAACGTAGACCTAGACGGAATACGAGGTGGGTGTTATTATTTCCTGTTATTTTGAACTCTGATGATCTTTCTTTCCTCATGTGGTATAGTATTTTATAATTGGAGAGTTGTTGGTCACGTGATATTGAATAAATAATCTATTGAACGACTACGTCATTAAGCGTGCATTTTGGATTATATGGGACCCGTATCGTTTGCCGTAGTTGTGACGTTGCGCTGCAGCATTACCGTTGCCACGTACATTCACAAACAGACGACATATAATATCCTCCAATGATGATGTTATATGAAACAAATAATGAATGTTTTTCATTCGTTCAATAGTGCGAGTATTTTCACTGGTTGAAAGATTAATGTTCTACTGAACTAAAAAACATTCATTATTTGTATATTTACGCCGACAACACATGTGTCCTGCCACACCGAGGAAATGTTCCGGTTGGGGACTGAGGGAAAATCCAATGAATTATTGATAATTTATTGCATTTTCTTTGTGTTTTGGTATTTGAGGGGCCTACGTACAGTCATGATTAAGTGGCAAAGCAATGGCCTCGTAACTGTGAGGCTTCAGGATCAAAACCGTGTCGATGTGCTTTATTAGTGCCCTTTTGTGAGGCAATAATCCTTACTGTCCGTCATGACTTAAAGGGATCCGGTAACTTTGTCTTAGAGCTTTAAACAAATTCCTTGATTTAACTCATACTGCAATCACAATTATAAACATTTAGGTCATTCAGGTATGCCATGACTTTTACAAGCCGAACGCCTGTCTGATTATCAAGATATTTATGATTGAAAATCGAAATTTCATTTTGCGTTTTCCAAAAGGTTTTCATAACACCAGTCTACTGGGGAAAATGAGTATGGTAAAACCGGTCATTCAAAGATTTTTTTTACTTTTTTGAGGCACTTCATGATCATTTTGAAGCGCAATTTGTGTAGGGCTTCAATATAACACCATATCACAAACACTGATAACATGTAGAGCCATGCATCTCAGATTTAACATTGTTAAACCATGGACCTATTACGGATGGACATTCAACGTGATTCTTTCTTTGATCCAATGATAGTCGCCGCCTTTTGATTATGTGCATCTTAATGAGAACATTCAGCTGTTTTAACAATAACGACTGCGTAAGCATTTTCGGTCATTGACAAAGGAGCAGTTTCCCTCTCTTGGGTTTTGTTTGGATGGTGTGCTCTGTAAGAGTGTGTCTTAAAATAAAAGCATCCCCAATGGGGAGCAGCAAAAGTTGAAAAGCAGACGATTGTGGTGATATGAAATGTATTATTACTGATTCGCACTCTTTCGCACACACCAATGACCTTATAAAACAGTTAGAAGGCCATGATCTTTATAAGCCCTGTGCTTTGTAACCCTGGAATATCATGAGGAAATAGAGGGAACGGGGTTTTAAATCACAACCCAAAAATAAAAAAATAACCTCTATCTGGTAATATCAACATGATTTTCAAAATAAAATACATGTACAGTACACGGAACAACAATTTCCGATTATAAGCCAGAACTGCACATCGATTTTCCATGATTTAGGCGAGTTATTATCTTCTGCGCATGTAGATTAACATGTGTAAAATCACTATCTGGATTCTGTCCCGGCTTTTTGGCGGTGACCATCATGAGATCAAAGTGACGAAACATGTACGGAATGTTATTGAGATGACATTGACGGAGACAATCACAATGAATTCTTTAAGAAAACGATGAATGTCCATCCGTAATAGGTCCATGGTTAAACGATGCCTTTAAGGGCGTAGGTACCCTGGTTGATAAGCATAGTAGCAAACACATGCTTCAGCAGTCACGCAGAACAAACACTCGCAACTCATTATTCAATAAAATTTGAGAATGTATACTATTATCTAGATATATTAGGAACAAATCATTTTCAAAATAATTCAATAAATTGGGGTAAAAAAATTATTCCAGCTTTATGACCAGCAGTATACCTTCATCCTTCAATCCAGATTTATGTGCTAACGCTTCTTGTCTGAATGGAGCTACCTGCCGTCCTCGAGCTTCCAGTGACGCGGGATATATCTGCAAGTGCAAAAAGAACTTCATTGGAAAGCACTGCGAGAGAGGTATCCTATTAGAATTCTTTAGTATGTTCTTTTGGTATGTTGTTTTAGAGTGCAGCTTCTCTCATTAAGGCCCCAAAATATGGTTCCCCTTTCCTTTCCTCTGTTCGCACTTCCACATCGCTTGGCTCTTTTAAAAAGAACTTAAGAAACATTCCTCTCCAATAACTAAATGCAGGGGTGTCGATTTGTATCCGTGGTTGGGGGGGGGGGGGGGGGGATGATAGGTGCAAAAATATTTTCGGCAATGGATCAAAGCAACCAAGAGGTAGAAGCGTGTGGCAGGTTGTACCCCTCCCTTCCAAGTTATTAACTTTTCCAAGTCACCTTCAATAAAGATAACATTTCAGAGAATATGGGACCCATGTGGGGCCCACATGGGCTTGCTGCCTGGGTTATCCTCTCAAGCACGTAACCAGGATTTTAATTTAGGGGGGCGGTAGTGCGCTCTGACGTTTCATTAAATTATTAGGGGAAAAGAAGACGATTCGTTGTACCGTTCTCGACTCTTAATCCTTGTTTGAATCAAGTTCCCTTTCCTCCGCGCGTAGCGCGGAAGCTCTGACGTATCATTCAATTATTAAAGAAAGAAGACGATTCGTTGTACCATTTTCGACTCTTAATCCTTGTCTGAATTCAGTTTCCCCCCTCCCGCGCGAAGTGCGGTAGCTTTGACGTTTCATTAAATTATTAAAGAAAGAAGACGATTCGTTGAACCATTCTCGACTCTTAGTCCTTGTCTGAATTCAGTTCCCCCCCCCCCTCCGTTTCATTAAATTATTAAAGAAAGAAGACGATTCGTTGCACCATCCTCGACTCTTAATCAAAGTCTTAATTCAGTTTTCTCCCCCCCCCTCCCGCCCGAAGCGCGAAAACGTTGACGTTTCATTAAATTATTAAAGAAAGAAGACGATTTGTTGTACCGTTCTCGACTATTAATCCTTGTTTGAATCAAGTTCCCCTTCTTCCGCGCGTAGCGCGAAAGCTCCGACGTTTCATTTCAGCGCGGTAGCTTTGACGTTTCGTTAAATTATTAAAGAAAGAAGACGATTCGTTGTACCATTCTCGACTCTTAATCCTTGTCTGGATTCAGTTTCCCCCCCTCCCGCGCGAAGCGCGGTAGCTTTGACGTTTCATTAAATTATTAAAGAAAGAAGACGATTCGTTGTACCATCCTCGACTCTTAATCAAAGTCTTAATTCAGTTTTCTCCCCCCCCTCCCGCCCGAAGCGCGGTAGCTTTGACGTTTCATTAAATTATTAGAGAAAGAAGACGATTTGTTGTACCGTTCTCGACTATTAATCCTTGTTTGAATCAAGTTCCCCTTCTTCCGCGCGTAGCGCGAAAGCTCCGACGTTTCATTTCAGCGCGGTAGCTTTGACGTTTCGTTAAATTATTAAAGAAAGAAGACGATTCGTTGTACCATTCTCGACTCTTAATCCTTGTCTGGATTCAGTTTCCCCCCCTCCCGCGCGAAGCGCGGTAGCTTTGACGTTTCATTAAATTATTAAAGAAAGAAGACGATTCGTTGTACCATCCTCGACTCTTAATCAAAGTCTTAATTCAGTTTTCTCTCCCCCCTCCCGCCCGAAGCGCGGTAGCTTTGACGTTTCATTAAATTATTAAAGAAAGAAGACGATTCGTTGTACCATCCTCGACTCTTAATCAAAGTCTTAATTCAGTTTTCTCCCCCCCCCCCTCCCGCCCGAAGCGCGAAAACGTTGACGTTTCATTAAATTATTAAAGAAAGAAGACGATTTGTTGTACCGTTCTCGACTATTAATCCTTGTTTGAATCAAGTTCCCCTTCTTCCGCGCGTAGCGCGAAAGCTCCGACGTTTCATTTCAGCGCGGTAGCTTTGACGTTTCGTTAAATTATTAAAGAAAGAAGACGATTCGTTGTACCATTCTCGACTCTTAATCCTTGTCTGGATTCAGTTTCCCCCCTCCCGCGCGAAGCGCGGTAGCTTTGACGTTTCATTAAATTATTAAAGAAAGAAGACGATTCGTTGTACCATCCTCGACTCTTAATCAAAGTCTTAATTCAGTTTTCTGCCCCCCCCCCTCCCGCCCGAAGCGCGGTAGCTTTGACGTTTCATTAAATTATTAGAGAAACAAGACGATTCGTTGTACCGTTCTCGACTCTTAATCCACCGCCCCCGCCCCCTGGCTACGCGCCTGTATCCTCTCTGTCTTTCATTATCTCTCTCTCCCACTCTCTACTTCCTTTTGGCACATTTGCGCTCCGCGCTTAACATTTGGCTCGTTGCTTTTTAACGCTACGGCTTTGCATTTGGCGCACTGCATTTCTATGATGCTGTTGATTGAATGAATTGAATAAATCCATGAATTCCTGATGAAACCGTATGAGCGAGAATTCAATTAATTCTTGTCTCATATACGGTTGTCTCATTTGCTTCGTTTTCTATCTATATATGTATGTATTATGAAAATGAGATAGCAAAATGTGTATATCGGTGGTCTTCTTGCGAGTAATAACCATTAACTACTCTCATCGGGCTCTCATCATTAATTTTTCTCTTCATTTTTTTTGTGTGTGAGATGGTGAATTATTGGGGGCGGGGGGTGATTGTACAGGCCATCCCCCCACGTGAAATATTGGGGGGATATATCCCCCCCCCATCCCCCCGGGATCGACACCCATGACTAAATGATTATTACTTTATTTGTCCTTATTCTGTTATAATAAAAATAATAATAATGGGTTCTTGTATAGCGTTCATGTCAGTCAGATTTGACCCTCCTGGCGCTCCCGATTTTCTTTGTTATTGGCATTAATTTGTCATGTAAAGCGCATTGATTAATGTTTGATTGAATTTGCGCTTTATAAAAACACGATTGTATGAATTAATGTCAACTACAAAACTCAAGATAAGCAAAGTATTTTCTTCATTAAACGAAAACAAATGGCCGTTTTCACAAGCAAATTTTCTCGATACCTACGACATATTTCTATTTTCCTTGCACTTGACCAGAAGCTAATGCGTGCCGGAGCAATCCTTGTGACCATGGAGGAGCCTGCCGGAACCGACCCTTAACAGGATCGTTTATGTGCCGCTGCCCACCTGGGACCTCAGGAGATCGATGCGAAATTAGTAAAGACTTTAATTGATATCATTTTATTCATTTATTTGTAATTAGTAGTATATGTATTCATTCGTTAATTTATTTATTCATTAATTCATTAATTAATCTATTCATTTTGTATAATCGAATCATTTTCCCTCTCCACATTCCTTTTTTTCACGCAATGAAGTTTGTTGTAATTAGAGAGATTAGTTTTAGTTTTAAATTGCCTTTTCTGTTGTTGTTGCTGTCCGATATGGACTGCAGAAAACCAGATTCAAACCAAAGTTGTTTAGTTTTCAGGTTCTGTGTTTCTCTTTAACTTTTCTTCAAGGCTGATGTGAAAGATACTAGTAGCCAGCAATACTTACAAATTAATCGTTATTCTTTTAATGATGGTTCTGCCTAATCTGAAAATAGTTCATGAATAGCAAAATTATTAATGTATAAATTACACATGAATTGCTTATGCATTACAAAAGCCACACATTAAATATTGAAAAATATGCATAGTATAAGCATTTTATTAGTATTATTAATATTTGATTCGGCGTCACCTGTGTGGTGAAAAGCGAACAGAATCACTGTAACCCTCGTGTCTCTCCTCCTAGTATCACTTTGCATGTTAACCACTACACCAGGGTTTCCCTCTACTCTTGACCGAATAGTGCAGTGGGTTCTTAACGTACAAAGGTGGTGACTCTCCTCTACACGGGTGTTTTCCACTTAACAAAGCCTGCGTCTATGAAACAAGGGGAGGGGCACGTTAACACAAAAAGCATGCAGGATTCAGTCATATCCTTCTGGGTCGGGTTGAAATCACTGATTTTTTTATTCGACAGGCAGATGCTTTACCGACTGAGCCAATTCGCCTCCTCAAAGTACAAAGGACAATATAATTCCAGAAATTCATAAGACAAAAGGAAATTACATAACATATGGCTGTTATTATCTTAGCAACATGGATGGGTTATGATAAATGCTACATATATATTAACTGAGCACTTGCTGGTTTAAGCGTTATACCAAGCGGGGCAGTAACTTGTATAAACCTTCATAACGAACCACACAGAGGAAAGTAACTGGTATAAACGTACTTATACCAAACAACTGGGCATTACATCATTGGTGTAAGCGTTTCACCAAACGGGGCAGTAACTTGTATAAACGTTAGACCAAACCACACAGAGGGAAGTAACCGGTATATTAAGCGTTACACCAAACAATGGGGCAGTATACTGAACTGATATAATCGTGATACCAATCAACTTAGAGAGAAAGATATTAATCTCGATTTGACATTCTTCACCCAGGTGTAATAAAAGGGTACCCGGTAGGAAGAACTACTTTGAATGCTTGACCACTTTTCATAGTACTCGGCTAAAGCCGGGATAGTTGTAGGGCCCCTCATGGAGAACAGTATTAATACGGAAGAGGCTACCCTGGGTAAACAAGACATATTATCAGTATCATTATTATTATACCATATGCTTGTATGCGTTAATGTTGACACATTTCTCTGTTATTTTGTTTATTTCTAGATGCTGACGATTGTGCGAATTCCCCATGTGGTCCAAGTGCTACATGTACGGATCTTGTTGGAGGGTATGAGTGCGAAGTCGGTAAGATCCGAGATGTAAAGAATATTGATAAAAATAGGAAAATTATGAATTTTTGAAGTTATCATCGTGGCAAATACAAATTGGCAACACTGTGACGTATCTTGCGAGGTCTTATCCAATTCGCTGTGTACAGAACATTTCATAAACTTTCATTTTCTCAGTTATGATGGCAGGATAGATTTCTTCCATTCAGGGGTTTTGTATAGAAATATATTTTCAATAATTGTATTTAGGGTACATGTAAAATTGCTTGTTTTGTAATGTAAATAAAAAATATCTGATTTTTTGTGTAATACAAGGGCATGTAAGGGGACGTCACAAGATATCACAGAGTTACCAATTCGTGTGTTATCGATTACAACTTACTTTCTTCACCTTTCTTACTTTTAATAGGAATTTGATCAAACTTTCTCTGACATGTTTCTATTATTTTTCTGCTTCGGTTAAAACCAACTTTATATCAGGATGTATTTCCCTCTTAATCAACTACTGCTTTGGGATGGATTCAATTCCAAAGCAAGGAAGCCCTAGCATTTTATTTCATTTCATTTCTTTATTGTGTCCATATAGGATAATTGTTTATATGCACATGAACAATCTTGCTTCGACATATGAACTTAGGAACAACATATAATTGACATTCATAGGGCCCTGTTTTAGCATGAAACCCTGTCTATGAACGTAAGATTTATTTCATTTTTCATGTCGTGATCTGATTATCCAGACTTCAGCTCCCAGGTCAATGTATCTTGTGATGGAAGAGAGATGACGATCACACTGAATGCAAGTCTTCTAGATGACGGGGGTGAGCCTAGCTCCCTCCGTCTGAACAATGATAGGCCTACCTGTACTGGTGTCTTCATACAAGATGAGTCTAAGATCCAGCTGTCTACCCCATACCAGGATTGCGACACAATGGTTGAGGTATATATTCACAATTTGTCCTTAACTCAACATCAAGTGAGGGAAAAGAACTTTTGCTCATGCGGGCCTTAAAGGGAGTGTAGCATGGAGAATACTGGCTAACGTCATCTACGTCTTCTTTTAGACAACTGCACGTAAATTGAATGGACTTGATTAACGGTAATCAGCGACTTAATCTCTACTTGGGCAGCGCGCTAGCGTTCGTGAAACAGACCGAAGTTCTTCTCACGCTTCGGTTTCGCGTATGTAGCACGCACGTGAATGCTGCGGTCGCGTCGTCCGTAGTCGTATTATCATGCTACACTCCCTTTAACCTGTGGAATGCTCCCCCCGTGAGAATCGTTAAAGCAGATCAGTTGAAGTGTTTAAAAATAACCTCGAAACGTATCTGTTTGACACAGCATGTAACTTTTTTCCTTTTCTTTACGGTATGTTTTTATCTTATTCCTATTCCTTCGTTTATAATGCAGATGCTTTTATGTGATCTCCTTTTTGGTTTTGCTTCAAAAGTGCGCATTGAGCAATTGATTTCAAGTAGATTCGGTGCCATACAAATCTTAGATATTGATATAATTGTTAATAATAATTATAGAATCTGTGCACATTTTTTTCTCGAAAAAAATAAAAATTATCGTTTGAATTTTAAAGTTGTCACACCTTAGTCATGCCAACGAAAACGTATTCACAACATACGATGAATAAAAAGAATAATATATTACCCAGTCAGAAGGTTTTTTTTTCTAATGACTGTTATAAGAAAGCATTTGAATGCTTGTTAGTTAGTTACCAGGGGACCGACGGCTTTAAGTCCTCTCCGATGGACCTGGTAATATTTAAACATTTAAGGGCATTATAACGCTTCGACTTGGTTTTGAACCCTGAACGTCCTGGTTACGAAACCACTGCTCTTCCACTAAGCCATCGCACCTCCTCTAATATACCTCGAACAATATTTTGTGTCACTATCTTCTAGTAATTATACCTGATTAAAGGGACAGTTAAGTTCTTGATTAAGACCACAAATGCGTAATTTTAGACCTCAACATGTGTGAAGTTTAAATCAAATCCGATCATACCAATTCAGCTCCACTTAAACAAAAATACGGTAGTCGTTTAATTAATTAATTGATAGATAATATCAATAACACACGAACCGGCTGGTTGTGCGTATTATAATCAACACGAAAAAGCCAACACAATTATTCAAACATTGGCATTGGCTGGTTCAAATAATTATTCGAAATGGTTATATTTAGGGATATTTCAGCCGTCTCCGAACCGATTTTGATCAACAAAAAAAAAAAAAATTGTCATATAAATTGTATGCTCTATTAAATTTGACACTTGGTTTTTCATTATCTAACTATTTTTTTTTGTGGCGCCCAACGAAATGATCTTTAAAAATGTTTACCCCATAATAATTTTGGCTAAACACGTGTGGTATCTTATACAAGAGATGCTTTTCCGATGATCACTAAACTATAATTTGGATTGTCTTTTTATCTTCTTTCTATACCCCTTATTAGGAGATTGGTGACAACATTATATTCTCCAACACAGTACGTCACACGGAAAATGTAATCACCACACACAATTTTGTTGAACTTCCTGTGGAATGCATTATGAGAAAGAAAGAAACTGTCCACGGTCCGTTATATCGAATCATACGTGATACACCTGCTAAACTAATCCAAGGTATGGTAAACTCTATACAACTGAAATTACTGGTGTCTTGTGGGATCAGGTCATTTAGGGGACACTTACATTGCGGGGGGGGGGGGGCGTTTTTCCTAGGTGTATAAAATATGAATTACCAGGGCTACCGATTGGGTAGGATATAAGAGTGGCTTGTCACGCTCCTTCCCCTATCTCTTTCTCCCCTGTGCTCTCCGCATCCCCCTCTCTCTCTCTCTCTCTCTATCTCTCTCGTTTGTCTCATATAGCTCCGTTTAGTCTCATTTGACAACGCCCTCTGTCGTCAGAGTCAGCTGCCTAACATTTTAGCATATGGAATTTTACCCCCCCCCCCCCCAAAATCGTTAATTTTTTTTTGTTTAAATGAAAAGCACATCCACCCCGACTCACGTTATCACTATCTCTTTCATTGGAACCCTCATGCCCCATTGACTTTTGAAAGTTCACCTACCGTTATTTGATCAAAATAGGTTGCAAGCTCTCCATTGCCTATGTAACACGAATATAACATGAATATTCATGATCGCCATGGACTATTCGATTTAAGTCAAGTATTTCATTGTATTATGTAGTTTGGTAGGTTTATTTTAATAACTGTTTAATTATCAGATATCAATGATAGTTTAAAGATATGGAAAATGTTCTTGTATTTTATATTTAGCAAAGCAATCTTACATACAAATTCACTACCAAGTGTTGTCTAATCCGCCGATTGTCGTCTGCTATATACGTCCAGCGAGCGAAAATGAGACAACCGGAGCAATATGTGTTTTTTCTTTACAAGGGGAGGGGGCGTAATCGCTGCGCGAGTCCCTCCGCGGCACAACTGCCTACGCTCCATCTAAGGATCAACAATATTGTGTTTCTAACAATGAAATCGTAAAGCATCTCTTTATTTAATCAATAAGCTCCATTCTGACTTTCACATCGAGAACATAATTAGTACTCAATTCACGAATTCATATCTGATATAGCTTCAATCGTCTTTTTTTTATATTATTAATGTTTGGATTTTCATGTCTCTTTTTTCCCCCCCTCTCTCTCTCTCTCTCTCTTACCAGGACATGGTCAGTTTGAATTGATGTTGGAGCGATACAGCAATGAAAATTTCGATGCTCTCCCATCTTCTGAAGACGTCCGTATCCGAGATAAATTGTACTATGCTGTCTCCCTAAATTCGTCAGCTGACATAATTACTGTATTGCTTGATTCTTGTTGGGCTACACCTAGGTCGAATGATGACGATACACCGCGATATGATCTCATTGTGGACGGGTAAGCAATTAACACCCTTCGCTGAAATTGCCAGTATTCATTGTATATAATTATGTACGATGGGTAAATAATTGTATCCCTGTCTGAATGAACGTCGTATAGCGAATCCCACTTTTTGAGCATCGGTTCAAACGAAAACTAGATAAAGAAACATTTTCCAATTGTCGTCTGAACATTGCATCATACAATTTTTTTATAAGCAGGCGGGGCTTATTTAGTTATCGCCAGCTTAATTGGCAAGCTGTCTTGTCATGACCTCGTTAACAGTAATCTCCTTATCATATGATCTTCTTCTATTGCCTATACGCTCAATTCGCTTAAAGGCCAAGTCCACTCCAAAAATAACTTACTTTTAATAGAAGCAGAACAGTCAGACAAATCAATCAAAAAAAGTTTGAGCAAAATTGGATAACTAATAAGAAAGTTATGAATTTTTGAAAAAGTATGCAAAACTATGGAACAATGAAATCACAAGACAAATTGGAAACTCACTTATGAGCCTGTGACGTCATATCCTCACTTTCCACTAATTGTTTTCTTGATATTGATAACATAAATTTCCTATTCCCCCCCTGAGAATCTTATTTCTTCACACCAGCACCCAAGTTAGATTGAGAGTAAAATGTTTTTGTGTGGATGCACTGATATAGAGTAATTTGTTTCAGTTAAATCATGGAAAATGTGGATTTTGATTAACTATCTAGATAAAAATCAATAATTATGAATATACAATATTCAGAAAATAGTATAAATTCTTTAAAGTTCGTAACCGATTTTGTGCAATGTCATGCACGCAATATGATACAAATCATATAACCTGGGCAAAGGCATTGGGAAAGCATGTCTCTCGGGATAAGAATAGAAATTAATGGGATTAAACTATAAAAGCAATTGATAAATAGTAAGGACATGACGTCCCAAACTGATACCAAATTGGCAATTTGTGTAGTGATTTCCATTTTGTACATACTTTTTCAAAGATTCATAACTTTTTTATTCGTCACCCGATTTTGCTCGAATTTGTTTTAATTGATTTGTCTGATTTGTCTGCCTCTATTGAAAGTAATTAATTTTTGGATTTGATTTGCCCTTTAACGATTATATTTTTATATGAATTTCGTATAAATTTTCTGTTGTTTTCCCCCGTTATTTGGTGGGGTAGGGCACAGTTTTTGAGTTGTAGCCTTTCTTAGATGAAATGTTGAGATAATAATTTTATTATAAACTTAGCTGCCATTATACACAAATAATATTTTTTAATCAAATTGATATCCTATTGATGATGCTTCCTTGGGGTAAATATATATTTATTTATTTCATGATATTATTCAAGATGGTGTTGTTTATAAGTGATAGTAACTGCATTTTGTATGCATTATATTTCCCATTATAGTTGCCCCGTCGATCACCATCCACCTGTGGAAAGGTACACGACTCTGGGACCTCTCAAACAAGGATTCACCTTCCACGCGTTTGGATTTGTCGGTCATTCTCAGGTAAGTTTGCCCACAAATGTCAAAATCAGTCTTTTATACTGACAAAGTTTCGAAACTGGTTATATTGTATCGGGTTCCGGGCCCTGTTTCATAAAACTTGTTGTTTAAAAGTTATTATAAGCTACTGAAACCCCTTCTTTTGATTGGCTAAGAGAGAATTTTTGTTATAAAATGATGGCATTTCTTGATAAAATCAGCCGTAGAGAACGATAATTTCTATAGTTTCCTTAGTTATCGGAATTTAAATTTCATAATTTACGTTGACAAAATCAAACTGCTTTGTTTTGGGTTTATTACTAGGATTGATCGTTTCAATTTAGACCTGTGTGTTCACGCAATGACAAATGAGAATACAAATAAGCGATGAGCGAAATGTTTGGTGGGGATTCCCAATTAAAATGTAATAAGAAAAATGTAAATCCAAAACTTCCAAATGTATTATACGTTTTTACATCAAGGTCTGCATGTCTTGGTCCTATCCATTTTTGTGAAATAAACCATTTGTTTACAACACTGGACTGTGAACAATAATTGCTAGTCATATTTACTTTCGTGAATTTTTTTTTTTTTAAATCAAAAGGCTTTCTCGATTTTTCTCCATCTAATTTAAAAGTGTGCGTCCATTGCACTGTAACTTTGTTTATTAATTAGTGGTACCGGTTGTGAACAATGTTGTAACACCTTGGAAGCAGCCTCAGTGATGCACCAAGCATGATGTCTAACTCAAAAATCTAATTTTTATCTTCCTTCCCTGTATCTTCATGATATAGATATTTGTGAAATAAATCGTTTCCCTCGATTATATATGTGTACAGGCCTATGTCCACTGTGATGTAACCGTGTGCGTTACTAATGCTGACGGTTGTCGACAAGGTGCCTGCCCTGAGCGCATTCGACGTAGCCTCCGTGATGTACCAAGTCTAATGAAACGAAAAGAGTTGCACTCGCAAGCATTCGTATTTTCTGAGCATTCTCGGGACGGACTTTAGACATGATCGAAATATTTGATGTCAGGCCTAGTCCGAAGGTCCATGAGACCAGATGATTTGCTCTCGCTAGCCTTCTTATTTTCTGAGCATTATCGGGCCGGTCTTTGGACTAGATCGAAGTATTTGATGTCGGGGTTTATTCTCAAAGTTTGATGGCCTGAAGGTCCATGAGACTGAAATAGTCAGATTAGTATAGTTCGTGATTATCCTGATCTTCTCGACATTTGATTTTTAAAAAAAAACATCGGTCAGCTGACATGGCTATCGATTTGAAACTGGTGTATATATAGTGAATAGATAATAGTAATACTATCAAAATGTTGGAAGTTCAAAAATGGTGCTTTGTTAACAAGTTGACAATAAACTTAAGGAAAACAAATGATATGCTCATCAAGGGACAAAAGCAATCATGTGAAATTAGGGGTATATTAAAACTCAGTGATACAGTGATAGAAAGAGTCAGTGTAGCATTTCGTAGGAATTCAAATTGATGAAACGTTGATGTGAAAGGAGTAAATTCAGAATATTAATGAGTGTATATACGGAAGGGAATTGGACTGCTGTGTAAATTTAGACACTATGTGCCTAAGTACATTATCATGCTCTTGTATTAATCATTTATCAAGCCGCACATACCTTATGGTATTGAAGTTTGGGCAAGTAGCTACAAAGTATTTAAATGGCATACAATTGGCACAGAATATGGCCATGCGTGTGTGATAACATTTTCCCCATTTAAAATAAGTTTAAAGGCACTGTTCGTATGTCTACAGGTATTATATAAGCATAATCTGTTTGAGTATTCAGTATCAACATTTGTGTATGACCTGCAGAAAGGACATTTACCACATTCGTCAATGTATTACGTTGATTTAATGAATCACAAGTATAGAACAAGAGGGAGAAAACATTTAATGCTACGATTACATAAATGTATTACGACACATGGCACTTTTTCAATTTCTTTCATTGGAGCAAAGCTGTGGAATAATTTGCCCATAAGTATAAGAGAAGAAAACTCAAGATCATCATTTCGTAAACATCACAGAATTAAACTCTTAAGCAGAGATGAATCATAAGGATCAAATAATATGATATTAATTCAAAATAAATGTTTATGCTTAATTCTTGATTGAGAATACATATACTTTAATATGACTTTGCATACCGTTCTAGAAAGTCGGAGAACCAATCCCGACTAGCACTCGTGCTAACTTTTGGTTCTCTCTTTAACAACATTTCGAGTTTTAAAGTTTAAAATATCCTTTATTTGCATCTCTTATACACTATCGGAACTCTGTGAATTTCAATGATAGCTACACTTCTATATATCTTTAAGGAATTCAACCAAATCTCTACGTGTAATTAAGTTATAGCTAATTAACAGGTTTGATATGACATGATATATGATTGATTTTGTATATATGGTTCAACCGTGGATATTTTCTTTTTCTTTGTAACTCATGCATGAATATTTCTAAGACACCAACTGTTTAATTGTTGTTACTTTGTTACCCACTTGAATACATTTGTAACATTAGTGTTATGTTGTTAATAAATTCAAATTCAATTCAAATGTTAAGGTTAATTTGTAGCGCGCCTCAAATACTATGTTTCTAGGCGCCATAATAATCCTCTGAATCGATCTTTCAGGAGTGGTTGTTCATCGTTAGGCCGTGACGCGGTCAATAATCTGCTTCATGAAGTCCATCTGTGGAGCCAGATTGGATGCTGTAAAAGATATAATGGGAAAGAAAGAAAATAAAAGAGGATGGTAAGATGGTAAGATTAAGAAGAAGATGAAGAGGAAGAGAAGAAGAAGAAAAAAAAAAGGAGGAAGAAGAAGAAGAAGATTCAAGTGAGGATAGAAAGAGGATAGATGGAGGGAGTGCGAATAGTAACACTGTCATAAGGTATCAATATCAATATCCAACCATTACACATTATATATTCATTAGAAATTCATAGATCAATAAAGATTAAACAAATGAAGTGTTCCAGATTATATTTTCACTGAATAGCTGGATTTATTTCTAGTTGTCAATGATCGCAAAATATAATCCTTCAATCGCTGAATTATAAATGTACTTCAATGTTTCATCGTTTTAAAAGTATGAATCACGATACTATTTTGAGAGAAAAACATGAAATTGCTATTTTTCAAATTGTTTATCGTGTAGCCGTTCATCGTAAAAGTAAATCACACGAAAAACGGAAACCATATAGCCAGTAAACGACGAAAGTGCATATCTTTGTTCAACTTCTTTTCAGTATCGTATAACATAATATTATTTTGGATCTTACCGTAGGAGATTGAAGCATAGCCCCACCTGTATGAAGATAATACAATGAGAAGACATGGGGTTAATAAGAGTTTCATGGGCGAGAGAGACAGAGAGAGAGCGAGAAAGAGGAGATAGAGAGAGAGGGGGTAGGAATATGTAGGAGTGTGTGTGTATGTGTGTGTGTGTGTGTGTGTGTGTGTGTGTGAGAGAAAGAGAGAAGGAGAGAGAGAAAGAGGGGAAGAAAGGGGAGGTGGGAGTGAAAGAGGCCAAAGGGAGGGAAGTAAGATATAAGGGAGTAAAGAGAGGAGAATGCAGATAAAAGGGAGTGTAATAACGAAATGGGGGTGGGACAGATATATAGGAGAGTAGTGGAAGAGGTGAAGGCCGAGCGAGAGAGAGAGAGAGAGAGAGTGATCGTGAGAGACTAAGAGAGGGAAAGGAGGGGAGAGAGAGAGAGAGAGAGAGAGAGAGAGGGGAAGGGGAGAGGGAATGAAAGAGGGAAAATGGAGGTAAGAAAGATATAGGAAGTGTAACAAAGAGATGGAGTGGGAGAGAGATATAGGAGAGTACGTAGAGGAAGAGGCGAAGGTCGATCGAGAGAGAGAGAGAGAGAGAGAAAGAGATAGAGAGAGAGAGGGGAGAGAGAAAGAGAGAATAAGAGAAGGAAAGGGAAGGAGAGAGAGAGAAAAAGAGAGGGAGGGGGTAACAAAAGGAGAGAAGGAAAGAATGAGAAAGAGGAGGACGGGGTAAAAGAGAGATAAAGGAGTAAATGAGGAGGAGAGGAAGATAAGGAAGCATAAGATAGAGGGGAATAAAAGAACAAAAAGATGGGGGTGAGAGGGAGAGAAATAAACAGATAGTGCGTGTATGTTCGCGTGGGTGTGCGTGAGTGTGCACCCATATAGGTGTGTAGGTGAGGAGGTATATATGCCCTGCGAAGCTAGGAATGGTTGAGTGAAAACAGGCATAATCAATTTAATGGCATTTACGTGTCAAAGAATCGAAGGTATATAGTTTAATGCATTTGTTATTCTAGATGTAAAACATAATGTTGGAAGAAGCCTGAAATACCAATTTCTATACTTTGAACTTTCACCTTCTCTTACAGATTTGTTTTAAACTGAGAACAGACGATAAACAAGTAATATTTGCAAAATCATGTTATTACTTATGGTATAGAAAGTGATCTTACCAATCCCAGCAGCCATTTCGATTTCCGCCCATCGGTTTCGCAATGGTTTGTGGGTAGATGACGATGATGTCATTCAGTTCAGCCACTTCGTTGTATCCAGAAAGTGTGGTATATTGATCACCAATCTCCTCACTAAAATATTTGTTTGAAAGAAGAGTGATTTGGACGTGAAACAAATTGTGACACAGAGGCTTCACTAATATTTTTAAAACTGAATTTTTCGATCTTTGGCCTTCGTCAGTTATTTTATTGGCTCTTCATTCATCATGATCATGCATGTCGGTAGTATATCCATGGTTTTATAAACTTTTCATAGTTTACCGTTTATCAGTGATTTTAGGGAGAGATTTTGAGGACAGTCAAACATCAATTTGTTTTCTTATTAAAGCTCATTATTCCTCATTTTTATGTATACACATGGGTATATAACTTTACCTTAAAATTTCACTGTACCTCAAGATAATTTTTATAACATTGAACTTGGTATGCGCAGTTTCCTTAGGCTTACAATGAAAAATGTCATTAAATCGAACAAAAATGACATTAGCTGCCGTTCTATTTAAGATACTGCTACAGTACACAATCCAAGTAAATAAGTAGTGTGTTTTGGAATGATTAGGAATGCCGTTATACTTACTATTGCTGCAGACACCCATGTAGTGCTATGTGTACCCGACAGTCTGGAAAAAGAAACATGACAATAAAAAAAGGGAATAGAAGCAGTAATCACATTCTCGAAATAAATGGGCAGAAATACTTGATGAAGTATGTGCCCGACGAAGATGACGGAAATCAATGCCCAGTTCTATAGGGCCCCGTCTTATAAAGAGTTGAGATGGATCCGAATCAATTGCAAGTCTTTTAATCGATCGCAAGTTTGAAGTCTCCTATCTTGTATATACATAGTTGCGATTAACATCAATCGCAAATAACTGTTTATAAGGCGGGCCAGGTAAATAAATAACTATGAAAATTACTATCACTCTTTTAAACGAAAATAAGAAGATATTACGGCGTTTAGATGGGATACTAGTCTTCCAAGTTGTCGAACATATATCATGTATATTAAGTACCATCATGATGAGTTGTTTACTCATTTCGTGTTGTCATAATATACTGTAGGCATATCTATTAAACCCAATTAATACTTCTACATACTAGTAGGATGACAGAGAGATTATTACAACTACTAGTATATATATCAAATAAAAAGAGATTAACTTAAACTAACGCAAAGAGCCTTATAAACGAGGCAATTCATTCACAAGTAAAGCCTTGTTCAGAAATGACGCCGCGAAACCGCGGCGTTTTTTTTTAATGATGACGATAAGTATAATTCGCTACACATTTCACAGAGCTTTGTGTAAACATGCAGGACCTTTGTTGCCCGCAGTTGCCGTTAATTTAAACTTAAAAATACCCGCGGCCGCTTTTTTGCGGCGGTTTACCACGTCATATCTGTGATTGAATGAGTGAATTCTGTCCCTTATCTCAATGTGCAAATTAAAAGCTAGATCCGCCCCTAGCGTAGTCACTTACGAGACCCATCGTCAATGCAACCAGTGGGCACGTAAATATAGCCGGTATTAGCAACACTCTCCTTTGCTGCGTTTCCATTTGGGAAAAACTCCGTTTGGTCAAATTCCAAAAGCTGAAAAGAAAGGTTAATACTGTGTGATATGCATTTAGTAAGTCTATTCTACTTCTATGTTTAACATGTGACTTTTGATTTATTGATAACTTATACAGCCCGTGTTTTACTTCTAATTTTTGACTCTCCAAAATCATTTAAATTACGTTCGAAAGAGTTCACGAACATCAAATACTTACTTATGATCATTTTTATCATTATCATGCTGTTAATATTGTCATCATTACTATTATTATCATTATTATTATAACTATTATCAAACAAGGCCCTCTTGTAAAATGTTTGATTCAAATACTAACGCGATTACCCTAGTTAAATAATAAGATATACACAGAGAAATGAAATTGCGTTACGATACTTACAACTCCATCTTGACGGGTATTTGCTGTTGGCCTCTGGTGAAATATCATTCAGAAGAAGAAGAAGAAGAAGATAAAAATAAAAAAAAATAATCAGATAAATGAGATGATTGATATAAACGTATATGACAGCAGGGGGCATGGGAATGGTGGAAATAAACATTTAAATAGAAAATGCATCCTTGTTCCATGCATTAGTGGATGTATTGTAGTAACCAAATTTTTGAGCTTATAACAATATTAACTGAGCAAGTGGGTAAGTGGGAAAGTGCTCGAAAAGAATGTTAGAGAGTTGAAGATTAACAATTGATAGATGACAACTTTGAAATTAATATGTTTCTTATTCTCTTTGAATTTTACTTAGTCATTAATTTATGTAACACAAAAAAATATTCTGCTTTTGTTAGAATTAATGTATTTTTAATGTCGAATTCCCTCGGGTCAGAGTGAACCTCACCTTTAATAAACCTTCTTGAATGATAATATCAGTTATTTTACTGCAATTCATGTTTTGTTTTAAATACAGGACGTACTTCGAGCCCTGCATGGTCCCTTAACATGATTCAACATTTCATAGGCCAGTGCACGTTGTATGTTTTATGAACCTCTGCCTTGTGCAACTGAGTGTGAAATAAAGTTCTGAATTGAATTGAATTGAATATCTGAAGAGATCATCGGATTTTACTTAACGGTTGATTCTCCTATATTTCCTGAGCGAAAAAAGTTGCTAATTTTCACCCTGGACTTCACCATTAACATACCTTCTAATTTGTAATGACAGTTAGCTTGTACTGCAATTCATGTTAGAAAACGGGGGGACGTACCTCGAGCCCGGGTCCGTAGAAGTGGTTCAACATCTCATAGGCTGCGTTGTAGCCACAGTTGTTGATATACGGCTCCCCTTTATGACCACATGCGTTACCATGCACATCGTGAACCTGTGATTATTAATAATAATAATAATACATAAGATTTATAAGGCGCCAAATCCACTTGACAATCAAATGCCCAAGGCGCAGCGTGTGCAAAAGATGAAATACATGATCCATATATGTATAAAAGTGCAATAGGAAAGGTACAGTCATGAAGGTAATGGTAATCAAATAATCAATTATAAGCTAAATTAAACAGATATTTCTTAAGATTTTTTTTTAATCACTTCAGCAGAACTGATATTCTTAATCCATTGAGGGAGAGTATTCCATAATGAAGGCCCAGTATGAGCGAAGGTTCGCTCCCCCCATTTGATTTAACCCTAGGAGTAACAAGTAAGCCAGAGTTTTGAGAACGTAGCTGTCTAGAGGGAAAGTAAAGCTTGATCAAGCCGATGTGTACTACGGAGCAGAGCCATGCATACAGTGAAATAACAGCAAAATAATCTTGAAAACAACACGTTCTTCTAAGGGCAACCAATGGAGTGATTTGAGGACTGGTGTGATGTGACTGTACTTGTTGGACAGGGTCACATAAGAACTTTTACCATCGAGGAGTAAATGTCTATGTTATCTTTTATCAAGCCATAATTCAAAGAGTGATCATTCAATACATACAGCAGTCCTGTTTATAATTAGGTATGATGTCATGTGACTTGTAACCAAATAAATATCTTCAATTACCACGGTATATCCATGCGTAAGTTACAAGTCATCAGGAATGTGATACTTCTCAAAAAAGAAAATATTAAAAGCATGCAAGTATGTCATACCATAGAATGTTCAGCAGGCACGGTATACTCGGTAAGGAAGTTGTTATTGTCTGTTATGAAATGTCGATAGTATTCCTCCGCAGCTCTAGACACCTCTGTTAATACACAGAAACATATTTTAATCGTAATTTCATAGTGTTATTTTTTAAACACTGTATACATATACAATAGGCTTGCGGGTGCACCATGTGAGAGAGAGAGGGAGGATTGAGGAGTCATGAAAAGGACTCTGACTCGGTAATCTTTCTTGGGGGTGTGTAGTCCTGAAAAGGACTGTTTGCTTTTAGTGGTCTTGTATGAGGCCCTGTTTTGGGGGTAAAAATTATAATAATAATTTTTTTTTTTCAAATTCAAATTAACCAAACCTGTGAGATATCATTGTCGTTATTACATTAATCAAAATTATAGTGCAACAATGTGTAATTTTGAAAAATATGAAAATTAACTTACACGAAAAAGTAAAAAATAATCCGTATATCCAGAGACTTTTCGCAGTATACTAGAAATAAATGTGGACTTTTTTGTAACAAATATAACAAATAAAAATTGAATTACAATAAAAGGACAATTTTCACAACATATACCTTGGACGACGACAGAATCCCTCGATCCACCGAATACGTACATCTTGGCATTGGCCATGTTTCCTGGGTCATCAATGGAGTTAAAACCAAGAGCATATGAGGTTGCGAATCCAGCGAGATAATCCACGTTGATATCACCCGTCTCCATACACTGGTTGAGAGCATACATCAGGTTGCCCCGAGCACACCAATAAGGACCTGGAGGTTTGAAAAAAAATGAACCACAAGCAATTATTAACATGACACACATTTTGGAAATTAGACGGGAAAAAACAAACACTCTATGAAAAGAATAGGGAGGGGCAAGGGTGCTTAGTCTAAGAGGATTTCTAATTTGCTTCTCTGTTACCCCCTTTTCTATATTTTCCTCTCCTTCTCCCTTTCTTCTTCTTTTTCTTCCTCTCCTCCTCCTACTCCTCCTTTTTTGTATGTCTGCTCGTTCTTCTTTTCCTATTTTCCCCATTTTCCACACCCAATAGGGAACCTAGCTTCCATGTTACATTACTGGATCCACCCATTCAAAGGCTTACCTTTAGTGACCACACCCACACTCCTAATGGATGGCTACCAAAAGCGACCACACCCATTCAAAAGGCTTACCTCCAATGACCACACCAACACTCCTAATGGATGGCTACCAAAAGCGACCACACCCATTTAAATGGCTTACCTCCAGTGACCACACCCACACCCCTAATGGATGGCTACCAAACGCGACGACACCCATTCAAAAGGCATACCTAATAAAAATCATCATTACACACATAATAAAGACGTGCCCCTTTGGAAACACCCTCTTAGGCCCATAGAGGATTCCCTCTAGCGCATGTATACCATTAACATAGGCTTAAATTAAGTGACCACACCTAGGGAGCCCAACTCCAGCAACTTTCACCATCAAGTAACTTACCTCCAGTGTCAACATCCACCATTGACCACACCTATACTAGAGGCTTGCATGCAGCAACTACACCCATATTACAGGCTTTTCTCCATCGACCACACCCAAAGAGTGGCTTCCCAGCAGCGACCACAAGCATAAAAGATGCGTACCACCAGGGGCGTACGCAGGGGGGGGTTGGGGGGTTGGGTGTTCAAACCCCCCCTTTGGTATTTTTTTTGTGTGTAAACCCCCCTAAAAAAACCTAACCCCCCCCCCCCCCCCCCCTTTGGATTTTTTTTTTTTTTTTTTTTAAATAAAAAAATAAAAAATAAATAAAATATGCCCACGGCTAACCTAAAAAAGGTGACCTTACCCCCCCCCCCAACGAAGAAAAATGTCAAATTTTCAAATTTCGAGACCAAAAAAAAAAAAGTGTCCGCTTACCCCCCCCCCCCCCCCTAATTGATATATTTGATAAATTATTATATCTATCCGGATTGGATAAATATAGATAGTCCCATATACATCTTTCTGTGAACAGTGCTTGTAACTTTATCAAGACTGGGCCAAATTTCTTATCATTTCGATGATTCTAGAACCTTGCAGTACACACCAATACTTATATGCTAGATGATCAACCTGTTCTGATCGATTTCACAACGTCTCTTCCACAATGCAATCGCATGACCAGAACTGGTCTATACCTTTAAAGCCTTACATCCAGCGACCACGCCCACAATAAGCCTTACCTCCAGCGACCACGCCCACTCCCATGATGGAGGCGGAGTAAGCGACGTGCACCTGTACGGCCATGAATCCTCCAGCAGATATCCCACTAACCGACACCTGGTTCCCATCTGCGCCATATTGCTCTGTTTAATGAGAACAAAATATGCTCAAGGTTCAAGGTTCATTTTATTTCTTTCTTTCTTTCACAACATTTTTACATATAATAATAGAACAAAAACGGAATAAGAAAAAACAATTTAAGTGCAATTTTTAAGTCGATATATAATCCAAATGAAAGAAAGTGGAGACCTGAGGATATTGCACGGAGGTTTGGATATTTTTCTATGAAGTTGCATGTTAGGCCTACATATTTATTGACCTGAGATACAATATCAAAACAATTACTATAATTCGAGCTCTTTCAAAGGGTTGGAAGCGATTCGTTAGGGAACAAAATTTTACAATAATTTAATAATCCTACATAATTTTACAATTTGTAGATATCATATTCCTGACAAAATCTACAGATTGAAAGTCAGTTTTGTAAAGCTTATCAAACTATTAATTCAACAATATTTTATCACATAACTTTTAGTTGCATAATTCTACTGAAATTGAGTATACAGTTTACAAAACTGTAGGGAAATGACCGAATATTTTGCAGAGGGTTAAGGGTACGATAGTTTTTCACTCTTATATGGAAATATAAGTGAGAATGCATTTGGACACTTTACATGATTTCTTTCCCAACAAACTTCATTATAGGTACCTATTGTTGTAACTGTTATCATTATTATTACTATTAGTAGTAGCAGTAGTATTATTTTCAGTACTATTATTGGTGTTGCTATTATTATTCTTATTATTATCATTATTCTTATTTATTTATTTGGCAAAGATTAAATCAAGAAATAGTGAAACAAAACAACAGTAAAATTTTGAGTAAATCACATGGATGCTGAAACAGGGAAAAGATTAACTAAGTAACTATAGCCCGAAGTTCTTCTTTTCCAATCTATGTTCTACATATGATAATGGTCACAGCTTGAAAATGCATGGTCCAGACAAAATTACATTTAGTTAAAAATAAATGTGATAATGGCGTAGCCAACAATGATAATTCCACGAGGCAGAGATGAATCTACTGTAGCCCATGACATTTAAATGCTTTTCCTCACCTCGTTTTATGAAATCATTGCTCATATCTTCTCTGAACTTTATGGATAAATCTCTGTTGAGTCTTTAGATTGATCAATACATTTTTGAGAATATGTAAACTTTATCTATCAAGAATAAATCATAATGTGTATATCATATCAAAGAGATAAAAGAAATTTATTTCATCATTATGATATCATTATTTTACCCCCTTTTTTGTTTACACGTATCTATATTACTCTAATTTAGAAAGTGTAAATACTAAATTGAATTGAATTGAATTGAATTTATTTATTCACCACCATTGAAAACATTGAAACAAAAGATAAACGTACAATGACAATGTCAATATAACATAAATGCATGACATGAATTATTAACAATACATGTTCTACAGCGATATACATGTACATTATAACAAAGATAAAGTAAACTTTGCTTCAAGAGTAAAACAATAAATGACTAATTACAATGAGTTTGTGATCGATGGTAAAATAGAGTCAAAAATAGCACATGTGCTAGTCGAGTCTGACTCTCGTTATCTAAAGCCTAAAATAAAGTTAATTTAAAATACATGATGGGTTTCCAAATCTTATAAATAAGATTTGTGTATAATATTAAAATGAGACTGGTTACTATATACAACTATATAGTTACGAGGTTATGATTCGTGGTTTTCACTTAGAGTAATTTTGTAAGTTTTTTACGAAAAGAGGTTCTTGATCTCTCAATTCTTAGATCATTAGGAAGCATATTCCAAAAGTTACTTCCAACAAACGAAACAGAAAACTTTCCTTGGTCTGTTTTGAATAAAGGAAGACGTAATTGTCGACCCGTTTTTTTTGTCTTGTGGAATATTCATGTTGTATCATACTGCAATAATGTTTTAAGGAATGAGGTAATCGTTCATTTATCAAATCAAACACAAAAGTACAAATAGATAATTTATGCAATTTAAAAACATTCAACAATTTGAGGTCATGAAACAGTGCATTAGTATGAGAACGATGTGGCTTGAAAGTTATAGCACGTACAGCCATCTTTTGAGTATAAAATATACAATTCAAGTGTGATTTATAAGTACTACCCCAAACCTCGATGCCATATGTAATATGTGGCTGTATAAGAGCTTTATACAACAGTATCAATATATGTTTAGGGACAAAGTGCCGTAATTTAAAGAGGATACCGACCTTTCTCCGTATACAGTCATTAACAGATTTTATGTGAATTCCATGTAAAATGTCTGTCAATGGTAATGCCAACAAATGTCGCTTCCTCCACTTCTCTTAATTCTGCCCCAGATATTTTTAATCTCCCTTTAAGCACAGCCTTTCTTCTACGACTACTGAAGAACATGAAATTGGTTTTTGACGCATTGATAGTAAGCTTATTTGCAGTGCACCAATTCTGTATTGATTTTAAATTTTCATTTACTTCACACTCATCTATTTGATCTACACCTTTGGGAAAAGTATGAAAAATATTAGAATCATCTGCAAATAGTCTGAAATTGAAATAATTTGTCACAGTTGGCAAGTCATTTATATAGATTAAAAACAGAGTTGGTCCTAAGACAGAACCTTGTGGTACACCGCATTTGATATATCTTCTTTCTGATGATGACTCTTTGTATTTCACAAACTGCATTCTGTCACTAAGATAGCTTTCGAGACATTTCAGTGCATGTCCTCGGATGCCATAATGTGATAGCTTTTTAAATAATATGTTATGGTTTATTGTGTCAAAAGCCTTTTGAAAGTCAAGAAACACACCAAGCGTAACACATCCTTTGTCTATACTTTTCAATACCGTATTCATAAGATTAATTAATGATAATTTAGTACTATACTTTTTCCTAAATCCATACTGATGGTGATATAAAATGTCATGCGTTTCTAGAAAACTGGTCAATCGAGCATTAACTATTTTTTCTAATACTTTACCCAAAATTGGTAAGACAGAAATGGGTCTATAATTCCCTGTTTCATGTTTATTACCTTTCTTAAACAGTGGACTGACTTTAGCAATTTTCATTTGATCAGGGAAATTTCCTGTTTCCAATGAAAGATTGAAGATATGTTTTAATGGTTCAGCCAAAATAGATGCACCATCCTTAATCAGGCGTACTGGAATGTTGTCGTAACCACAAGCTTTCTTCTCGTCTAGAGCCAACATGTGGTCATGAACTTCCTTCATTGTGACCGGTTCCAAAAAGGGATTGCTCAACACTATTATTCAAATAATCTTCAAATAATGTGGGTACATTTGGTATTGCTGATGCTAGATTTGGACCGATGTTTACAAAGAAATCATTAAATTCATTGGCAATTTCAGATTCAGTTGTTAGACTTTATCATTTCCATTAATACGCCTTATAAGTTTTTCTACCTTAGTACCTTTGTTACCTTTATTTCTCCCAGATAGTAATTCATTTATGATGTTCCACGTTTTACTAGTGTTATTGCTGTTCTCAGCTAGCAAACCACTGTAATAATTTCTCTTGGCATTGCGAAGAACAGTCGTTAATACATTTCTGTAGTTCCGAAATTTGTGTACATCACTTACATCAAAATTAGATTTTCTTACTTTTAAAAACAATTTATATTTTTTTCGAACAGACTTCATTATTGATTTGGTTATCCAAGGTTTCTTATAAGCGCGTCCTTTGCAGCTTCTTTTCTCTTTGATTGGTGCATGTTTATTACAAACATTATTAAACAAATTAAGAAAAATGGAATATGCCATGTTAACATCTTCACAGCTATTGATATGTTGCCAGTCTTGCCCAGCAAGATCATCTTTAAAGTTTTGTACATCATAGTTTTTATAACATCTGTAAGTTACAGTTTGTGGATAATGCAGCTGCTTCAAATTACATGGATTTTCTAAAATCATGAACACAGGGTAGTGATCAGAAATATCACATTCTATAACACCCGAGTGATTATCATACTTGTTCATATTAGTGTATATATGGTCTAATAAGGTTACAGACTCACTGGTTACTCTTGTTGGATATTTTATTTTCTGCTCCATTCCTACGCATTTCATCGCTGTTGAAAACCCTTCTGTTGTTCCGTCTGAACCTAATGAATTTATATTAAATCTCCTATTAAAATGGTATTGCGTCTGTCGACTTTAATGTCTTCTAAAACTGTGAGAAGACTTTCTTGAAACTCTTTAACATCTGTATTTGGTTTCCTATATAAAACACCTACCATCACCTTCTGAAATTCTCCATTGTTTATTTCAAACCAGATTGATTCCCAATGCTTCACTGTATAATCTTTCACGACATATTTCAAATTAGAACGAATATAAGCTCCTACCCCTCCTCCTCTTTCTCTACCATCCCGGCACTTTACCTCCAATAAATAACCTTCCATTTCCAAGGTTGATTTTTCTAAAACTCTCCATACTTCTGATAATGCAATTACATCGAATCTGAACTTAACGCAATCTTCATATAACAACTTTAAGGAATCAACATTTTTGTTTAGCGAACGTACATTTACATGGGAGATACTAATTGATTTTTTACCATCAAGTGGCAATGTACTATCAAATGAATTTGGACATAACTTGTAAGAATGTGATACAGTGTTATCAAACATATTATTAGAATATTTGTATCATGAAAAAAAAAGGACATTATGAGGAGACATTACTCCAACAAGCGGAGTCTGAAGTTTTTGTATTCGACATTATCTAAACCCACTGAGAACAAGTCGTCAGGGGTTGAAATTATCTTAAAGGTATCATCATTCATTTTGCAGACGATGTTCCCTGCCTTCGTTGAAACGGATTTCACCTCTGTAGATTTCTTTGCTGCCATTAAGACAGCATAGCGAGTAGAGGTGAGGTCTTCGTTCACAAAAACCTGCCTAAAGGATTCCTTCCCCTTCAAGTGGAAACGCCCCTGGTAGACCTTGTCTCGCTTACGTTGGGCGACAAAGCGCACGACGGTGTCGCGCTTCTTCCCCGCCACCTTCCTTCCGAGGCGATGGCAAGCCGAGATGTCGCTCTCTGCAATGAACATACACGCTTTGTAACTAGAGTAAATACTGAAGTACTTTCTGTTTTATGATTTCTAATGCTCTTGAAGTGCTCATTTTACATACCACGCTGAACGAATTAAATCGAACTTTTTATTGGCCGTTAATTATCAACTATTTGCACAATATTATTATCAATTCGCCACTCCATCTGTCATATTTCACACTTGCTAATCTCATCCCTTTGTATATTTGTTTAAACAAGACAAGATAAGCTTTGTTCAAAGGCCGTCTGTACTAGTTTGGCCAGGGGGGGGGGGGGGGGTTAACCCCTGCAAGGTCACTTGGTAGGTGTCTATCTCATTAAATCAGCTCTCAATTAACATCAGAAAAGAGGATCATGGGGGCCAACGTGCACCGATTAGGCATTATTTGCTATATAGAGGGCGCAAGTAGCTATACGTAGGGGACATTTTGGGCACGTGCCCCCCACCCAATAAAAATAAATTAATCCCAAAACGAATGGCGAATAGGGTAAAAATGAAGGGAGAGAGGAATATGTTGAGAGAGAGAGAGAGAGAGAGAGGGGGGGGGGGGGAGAGAAAGGGGGAGATACATATATATATATATATATATATATATAGAGAGAGAGAGAGAGAGAGAGAGAGAGATACATAGGTAAAGAGATAGAGGGGGAATGGGAGAGATACATAGATAAAGAGAGACAGAGAGATACATAGGTAAAGAGAGAGAGAGAGCGGGAGGGGGAGAGATACATAGATAAAGAGAGACAGAGAGAGACAGAGAGAGACAGAGAGAGAGAGAGAAAGAAGGGGGTAAAAACTTCCATTAATTGAGACAGGTCATGTGTGCCCCATGACACAAGTGCCCCCCCCCCCCCCACGACTGGAATATTTCGCCACTGACAGTGTATAATAACCTTTTCAATAGATTTGACCACTGTGACACGTTCATCAACCGTCACAAAATACATCACGATAACTCAATTTTCAAATATCTCCAATATTTCATATCTAACGATATAAGACTCGTATAGCCTGAAATTTCATTTTCGCATTTGATTGGTATCTTCAACTCTTCCGTATAGGTTTTATTGGTAGAGTTAATGTATGTATTATATAATTTACACCTCCGCTGTCTGATCTCTAGTTTTTAGGTTCTTCCATTTCATATTACAACACGCATATGCATCTTGTCTCGTCCTCACAATTATCATTTTTAATAATTCTTGCCATTCTTCTCCCTTTTATTCTTATATCCAGTATCGGGTATCAAGAAAGAAATGTTACTATTAAAAGCACAAAAAAGTATAAGAAAGATTATTGTTTTCTTCTCTCAAGTATAAGAGAATAGGTAAGTTCAGTTAACAACGCGGTAACAAACCTTTAAACTAAGACCAGTACATCTGAACGTCTTATTCAAGCCGATGACCCTACTAAACTAATTCAAATTCAAATCCGAATTCAAATATATCTATTTCACTCGATGAAAAAGAATGAACATGTACATCATTCAAGTATATAGTCAAATAAAACAAAACAAAACACAACAATACAAAACAAAGTATTTACAATATATAAATGATATAAATACAGTGTAACAAAAATGAATACAAGATAGAGAACAGATCTAGTGAGGACCGGTGTTAAAGATTGAGAATCTTATTTGTGCTGGACCTAACAAGAAGAAGAAAGAAGAAGAGGGGAAAAGATCATTTGAGATAAGTCGTTCTGCCTTTCTAGAAAATTATCAGAAAGAAGCAAACTGGGATCAGACTGAATAAAAGAGATGTCATTATTTTACTAGTTACCATGGTTATTTGAAAAGTTTGGGGTAACATATGCGGTAGTGGGGACATCAAAATAATTAATATTCATAGACTTAGCCGAATTTCCTCTCCTCGAGAAATGAGAAAATATTTTTGATTATTTATCTATATCTTCAATAATAGTAATATTATCGTATCTGAACACTCTACATTATCAGCCATTTCTTCAGGCACATCTTTTTTATTTCTCTAATCTATCACGTTGAGTTTAAAGGTAAAGACCAGTGATGGAAACGTCCCCCTCTCAAAATTGAAATCGAAGCTCATATTACCAATCATGTGAAAGAATATGTTTTGACTAATAGTTATGTGATAATTATGCTGCATTATTGTAGAGCGCTTAGAGACTTCTGACAAAGTAAGTGTTAGGCGCTATATAAGCACTGTAATTATTATTATTATTATTATTATTATTATTATTATTATTATACAAATTTCGCCTACTAATTGATATATTTGGTAAATTATCATATCGACCCGACCTGGATAGATATCGCAAATGCACTTCAACATTGAACATTTGGGTATAAATTATATTTCTGCTTTTTTGAGAATTTAGGTTAAAGTATTGCCCTCTAAACCTTTGAAGGCAATATTTAAATAATATTGAATGGATATTTTGCATTCAAAACCCTTCAACCGCAACTGTACCACTACAGGTCTATATCTTTAACAAAAAAGTTATATTGAGCATAAAGACATCCATAATCTTTCTAAAAATGATTGAACATACCTAGCCCAGGAGCAGCATGGCTTGTTGCAAACAAGATAGTTGAAAGGAGAAGCGGAATAAGTTGGTTAGCCATTATCTCTCGATATTTCTGAGTCCTTCGTAGAACAACCTGTTAGCATAAAGCCCAAAACTCTTCTGATAATATCAATTTATCTCAGCTGGAAAAGGGGCCAGGCCTATGAAACGTTATCTCGTGTTATCTAGTGTAAAATCAGCTTTATTTCAAGTAGGCGAAATGAATGGATGTACTCACTGGCGTACTGATGGTGGGGGTGGGGCAGTTGCCTCCCCCCATAAAATTCAAACATGGTTTATTTCTAATTCGATACCAGTGATTTACAAATGTTGCTGAAATTACATAATTTTCGGAGATGTTCTCTCACTTTTTTTTTGTAAATTATACTTTTGTATGTGTTTGTTGGAAAATGACCGATTCCCAAATTTACAGTCAGTCAAAAAATATGATTATTTAGAAGCGTACATGTCAGTGCCTAAGAGACGGCGGTGCTCAGCGGACTCGAGCCCCTTCTTACTTTTTTGAAAAAAGTATGTTAAAGAGACATATAAAGAAAGAAAGAAAGAATAGTGACCTGCGAGTGTTACAAATATGGTATCAAAATATGCTCATCTGACGGTAATTCAATGCCTAAAATCCCTGACTGAGCTTCCGGGGGCAGAAAGGCAGACTTTTGGATGCTCATCTTAATGTTACTTAATGCCTAAAAACCCCTGAGCTTCGGGGGGCTCCGCCCCTGTTCCCCACACTAATTAGTTACCTGCCAGTGTCACAAAAGGGTATCAAAATATGATCACCTTACCTAATTAAATGCTTAAAACCCCATTGACCCCGCCCCTGGACCCCAGGCCAATTTACGCTCCACTCGCTTCGCTTGCTACGCTCTACCTGATCGTACTTTAGTCCCTCCCTACCCCCCCCCCCGAAAAAAAAGATAAACGTTCCGCGGGGCCTGCATGTGACCGTGCCAGAGTGGTGGTGATGCAGATAAGTTCTGCTCCCCCCCCCCCCCCCCCCCCCACACAAAAAAAAAAAAAAAAAAAAAAGTTTTTGCTCATTACCCCACTGGATGTACTCATGGTGTTGTAAGTTAATTATTTATGAGGAAATAAGAGGAGTATTCATGTTTGAGCACTGTATGACAGCCGTCCTAAAGCCGGGATAATAAAAATGGAGCAGGAGCAGCAATGTGCCAGACATTAAGCTCTATACAAGATTATTAATTAGGCCTCTTATAATAATTATCCTTTTTATGATTGTTGTTGACTGAAACTTTGCATTGCGTCGATATGGAGTTTAAAAAATTGCTCTTTTCTAGATAGCTTAACTACAGATTTGTGAATATATTGTATGTGAAATTCTTCAAATTACTGTTTTAAATCAACTGTCCGAACACACAACGTATGGGTATGCATGAATATGGGGCAATGAAAGGCATAAACAACAACGTGACTAAGTTCGACTTGAGAGAAATGGGGAAAGTAAGTACAGAAGGAACGATGTAAAAAATGTCAGAGGTAAAAATGATACTTCCGGCATTTTTACCTCTGACATTTAAACAATGAAAGAGAGAAAAGAGAGATAGAGGTAGGAAGGGATTAAGGGGAGGGAGAGAGAGAGAGATATTGAGAGAAAGAGAGGGAGGAAAAGAGAAAGAGAAAGAGAAAGAAAAAGAGAAAGAGAACCAGGATTGTGTCTGGACACATGATGGCATTTTTCTATGCACAACGCATTTGGCTTGGCAGCCCAAGGACTGACTAGAGCCCATATGGCCCATACAAAGACCAGATGAATACCAGATGGGCCTTCCCACCGAGAACCCACAAGTACTAACACATATGGGCCCCATGTGGGGTTTTGGGTGGTGAAAAGCTCACATGAAGCATTGGCTGGGCCCAGCTAAAAAACAGATGTATACCAGATGTGCCTTCCCATCCAGAACCCACAAGTATATGGAGACCACGTGACCCATAAAAAAACAGTTTGGCATTCCCACCCAGAATCCACAAGTACCAACACACATGGGCCCCATGTGGGCCCCATATGGGTTTTTTGGTGGTGAAAATCGCACATCGAGCATCGGCCGGGCCTAGCCAAAATCCAGATGTATATCAGCTGGGCCTCCCCACCCAAAGCCCACAAATATACCCAGATTTCGCATAATGAATATGGGGTGCGTGTACATTTATGTTTTTATACAATTTATCTGAATTTACAGGTTATTTCTTAATTACTGATGATTCATTGATATGCAATTCATCTCGAAAACACTACAAAACGTGAATTGCTAATTATTAGGACATTTCACTACTTGTGATTAAACATGAATTAGGACTAGCACTAACTATGAATTAGAAGAAATTCAATAACATACAAGTATATGGAAAATCTCATTCACAGCAAACTAACCAAATCTTCTTATTACCAATGCCGTTACATTGGAATTTGCAGACGATGTGTTGTTGCCATAAGCAAAATTAATTAGTGTAAATGCTACTTACACCATAACTTACTACTTAAATCTTTTAATTGAAGTTTTCAACTGGTTGAAAGTTGTGCCAAATAGTACAACTGTTACAGTTAGATCAGTTAAATCCAACTGGTAATCCTGGAAATTGAAATGGGATATCTGGTCCTGTTGTAATTCCAGTTAAATTCTATAACTGAAATTAAATGGGTAAAAATAGAACCCATTTAAACAACATGAAACCCATTTAGAATCACATTGGGCCCATATCCAACCCACTTGGCCCATATGGATCCCATATAGAACCCACTTGGCCTATATGGATCCCATATAGAACCCACTTGGCCTATATGGATCCCATATAGAACCCACTTGACCCATATGGGCTCCATATAACACCCACTTGGCTGGGCTCATTGTGAGGCCCATCTGGGGCCCATATACCAGCTCAGTTGTAACCAGATAAAACCCAGATAGGCCCCACAACATTTTGCTATCTGGGTTCTCTCTCTCTCTCCCTCTCTCTCTCTCTCTCTCCCCCCCCCTCTCTCTCTCTGTCTATGCGGTCATACAATATTCAGTGATCGTTGTCGCAGTTGAAATCGAGTCTAAAGTTATAAAATTGTAAATAATAACCTCTTTATGTTGTATAGCTCCCTCTCAAGGTCAAGATATTAATTAAGCTATAAAACAATGTTTATTAACTCAAATCGACCGATAAGCTATTCCCGTTTGGAAATTATATATCACAACTACATATCTGAGATTGTCATGGTCGCAGCTATCATTGTACGGCCGTAGGCGCTATTCGAAATTCATCAACATTTACCGCAGGGACATCCAATATATATCAAATGGGAAAGAATCACTAGACTACAAGCTATGCTTTTTATTTAAACTCCCCACATTTTACAAACCTTGTAAACCCGCATTTGTTTTAAGTTTTGATGGATTAGTAGTAGTGGGGAAGAGGCTTTACGTTAACCTTTCTCTCCAGCGTTTTGATGAATATTTTTTTTTTTTTTTTTATTGTACGCATTACGTCTTAAATCGTCTTAAATCGCAAACGATCGCAAACTGACAATTGAACATGTATCTTGGTAGACGACCGGGAGACCTAGGACTACGTTACTCCCGTATATCGATGACGATGATGAAGATGCTTCTATTGAAAATCGTTCTGAATTCAAGCAATGGGTGCGATGAAATGATATTAAAACGTTCAATCAATCAATCAATATGGGCCTATGCTACGGAGACCTAATTCCAAATTTAAATTGGTTGAACAGAACGGGGAACAAATATGAAATAGTTCCCTCTATTTTTACGTCTTTTCCTATGCCAGTCAAATCGCTGGAGACTGAGTGAATTGCCATTTCCTATTACCTTTTATAATGAACAAATAGACAGGGTCCCCAAAGTATCCCCCCTTTCTTTCTGTTTGTACCTCTCAAAGAAATCTGAAAGCACCAAAGAGATTCGATCATACACAGTATGTCCTCCGTAGGAGGACTAGAGGGCCAACTAAAATCATGACCTTTGACATTTCATAGGTTTTGCATTGGATGCATTATGGGGGTTTTGTCCGATTTGAACGACGGTTTTGGAGGGTCAATGAATATTCATGAGCAATGGCGTAAAAAATACGCCAACTACTGTTTGTTGATTGGCCATCGACAAAATGTTTTATGTATTAGGTCATGCATAAAACATTTTTTTCATTCCCAGAATTCCCTACGATTTGAGCACGAAAATGGCGGTTGTATGAACTGCAACTTTCAAGTTATTCAATTACGAACAATGAAACATTTTTCTTTTAAGTGAATTTCTATTATAATAGAAGTTTGTCAAGTACATCTCAGTGAAGCAGAAAATCTTCAGGCGAACATTGACATCGAAGTGATACCCTATGATATCAAGAAAAGTAAGTAAAGATCCATTTTGTGTGAAGGTCTCTGAAATGATTGTGATGTGTTCGTCATTGCAGTGAGCGGCTCTCCGCATTGTCACAACGTATTACCCGGTTAACCCCCTACCCCATCCTCTTTTCTTTCTTCTGACCAAAGAATATTAACTAATTGAATGAACTCTAATTTAAGTCATCGACGGTAATATTTTTTAGAAACAATCAGGATTTTACCGTAGGTTATTTCATTAGAGCACATCTCATAATTTTAAGTTCAGTTCATAGCTTGATTACCGATAGTAATCGGTCGTAGATGTGGACCTGTTGAGACTGCGCAAATGGCTCAGTGCTAGTCCAAGCCGATGAGATCTCGTCGAGCGGTTTATGATCTTCAATCCGCCGGTTCTAGCCGGCTGTAACACTCCACCAAGAAGCGACTGCGTTTCCTGAGCTGGCGCGGCTATAACTTACAGTGTGTTACTGTAAAGCCTACTAGGGCTAGGCTAGTATTCATAGCATAGTCTGGCCTGAATTTTCTGTCTCTTTTGTTCGTTAGCCTCTGATTTGGGTAGGGTCGGCTCCTCTCTTCAGCCGACCCTACCCAAATCAGAGGCTAACGGACGAAAGAGACAGAAACATTCGGGATAAGCAGAGCCCAAGCAGAGCCTAGGGCTAGACCCTAGGCCTAGATCTAGGTCTAGTCTAGATCTAGATCTAGCACTTAAATATAAACAGCATTTAACCCCGCATCTAGTATAGGCCTA